TATAATTTTTAATGGGGAAAAAAGTAACAGTCAATATGGTAAATAAAACCCGCCTACTAGTACAAGAGCCAATCATCGATTTATAGGTTGACAATTCTCCAGGGGAGAAGCTTAGACCAGACATGTGCTTTTACGACAGTTTTTTTGGTCAACAAACACACTGGAATCTCACTGAATACGTGCCTCACAGACATAAAAACTATATTAAAATAAAGCTTGAAATCACTAGTTTTAAATAAACTACCAACTACACTTAAAAACAAAAGTTTTTTTGGTTTTGTAATCTATCCCTGTAAGAGTCGTTGTCATTTTTGAAGGAGATTCACCATCAAGACCAAGTTGTGAATTACTTCAGAGAGCAGCTCGATCTGACAGAGCATTATTCAGTGGATGGTAATTCATTTAATTATTTTATGTCATTTGAGAAATATTTATATTTTATAATTAAGTGTAATTTTAAGTAACTATGGTCAGTGATTCAAATCTCATAGAGCCTCAAAGCCACAACAATGTGACGCGAGTCATGTGACACAACCCACCAAAAGGTAGCGTTTGAACGTGACAGCCATACTAAGTAACGCTTTGGGTCGAAAAGAGCAAGAGAGGTGGAAAAGAAAGCAGGCAGCGGCGTCATTATTGAAAAATATGGAACATATGTTCAAAAAGACTGCCAAACAGGGTAAGGCTAACGTTACTTACTTCCAAACAGGTGAGAATTTGTCCATATCTATTCTACGCTAATTGACAGCATTAGCCAGACGTCCTGTATATTTATGGACTTGTGCAGTACATGACCTACCTTTCCCTATTTTTTCCATTATTGTTATTTTTTAAATAACTGTCAGAAGAAGGCTTTAATGGCAAGTGGTGTCTTAGCCATCAGATGTCACTTCACAACCAAATGCGCTAATCCTGTCATGTCTGTGTTTTTGAGGCTGTTTGGTCATTTCGTTCCTTTTATTCTGATAGGATTTAAATCCGATCGTTAAAACCACTTCAGAAGGTGGCCTGGGATGCATTCCAGGTGAAACTGGAAAGGTGTAATTTATATATATATATATATATATATATATATATATATATATATATATATATATATATATATATATACATTTAGAAATTTATATATATAAATATACATATTTTTTATTATTAATTAAATGTAACAAAAATAAAAAAATAAATTATGACCTGGAGAAAATCTGACCTTAGAGGAACACCTGTAGTTGCGTTTTTACAGCCAAACACAATTAAAGTGTGCAAAATTATGCAATCAAGATCTGCCTGGAACTACCTTAACTCTCATCACAGTTCAACACAGTGTTAATTTAGACAGCATTTTTTGCACTTTTTTGTCATGTGCAGAAACATCTGGTGTTGTTATGCAGTTTCAAAATACAACACATTTTAATAAGTTTGTAAAGCCTATTGTACAATGTCCTGATGTTGTTGCAGATTCAGATTACAAGATGAGCAGCATGTTTAAATGTTGGAAAAAAATGTCTGCCTGGGTGTTTTATGATGCAAAAATGCAACATAAAAATGAGACAGTTGAGATTTAATGACCAATCACACAGTACTCCAACCACCTCTGCTGACAAACAAAGTAATGTACAGATAAATCTTAAACGACAAGATTAATCTAATGTGGGGAAAATTATGCAGCTTTGGAGAAAGTAGATTGACTGTAAGGTTAATTAATAATAATCTCATTTCTAATATGTTGTTTCATTGACTAAAACTAGACTAAAATGCCGGGAATTTGTCAACTAAAACCCAGCAGACTATAATATGATTAAACAAAACGACATTTTAGAAAAAAAAAAAATGCTGTCTAAATTAACACTGTGATGAACTGTGATGAGTGTTAAGGTAGTTCCTGGTAGATCCTGACTGCATTATCATAGAGCAGGGGTGGCCAACCCTGTTCCTGGAGAGCCACCTTCCTGGAGATTTCACTTGCTACCCATATCAAACACACCTGAACCAATTAATTAGGACCTGAACACCACGTGATAATTACAGGCAGTTGTGTTTGATATGGGTTGCAACTAAAATCTGCAGGAAGGTGGCTCTCCAGGAACAGGGTTGGCCACCCCTGTCATTGAGAATACTATTGTTTTTAGGATATTTTTGTTGAATAAATTGAAATGAAAATCGTGTGTATATGCTGTCAGCACAATAGACGTACACCTTAGAGCACGATTACTTTGAGGTTTTATTTGTATTCATGTGTGAGAATGATGGCTTGCATGTGTAAATAAAGAATTATTTGTTTACTTATTGTAATCAAAGAAATAAATGGAAGAAAGAACATTGTGTTGTCAGTAATCATGGTCTCACGGGATAGGCTGGCAGGAGAGCGAGTGCTCTATGCTGTGCCTGCAGCTCATGGAAAAGACCCGCTTCACTTCATAACTGTAGGGCCCATTGTCCAACTGAACTAAATTAATTCTAGGGATGTCTTTTCACACTAGGCTACTTGAAGGGCTAAAGCAAAGTACCTCGGGAGCCGAGCTCGGCCCGTGGGTCGCCAATTGAATAGCCTGAGACACATAGAAACTTGACAGGTCTGCTGCGCCAGTAGCATGAATGAAAACCATGAATGTGCGCACTCTGATCCTCTTATCTAATGAATGAACAGTGCAGTGCATAACACTTTAATAATTATAATTAAATAATAATGAAGTATTTTGGTATGTTTGACTACATTTTAGTCTCGTAATTCTCATGTTACGAACATTGCTTAGTGATAGAGTTAGTAGCTAATGATATCTATGTCGTGCCATCTTTATCTTGAAAAAATAGGGTCTTTTAGGGCCACAACTTCTCTTTATTTTCATATATTTTATGACTCTCATAGTGTTAAAGCATTCTGAGAATCACGTTATAAATCACTAAGGACCAACTCTGAGCTAAAAACATATTGGTAACACTTTATTTTGATGGTCCATTTAAGTATTTGTAGACTGTCTGCTTAATATTTGTTGATACTGCTCCTTCAACAGCCATTTAACTGACTATAAGAAACTTTGTAAGTACATGTCCACTTAAACTAAACCTAACCCCAACCTAACAGTCTACTTATAATATAAGGAGAATATGTTGTTATGTAGATGCAATGTAACTTAAATTCAACAAACAGACGATCAAAATAAAGTCTGTGACCAACATTTTTTATGTTATATTGAAGAAAAAACCCACACATTTGATGACTTGAGGGTAAATATATGAACAATTAAAAAGGGATATAGAAAAATCCTCATTATTCACTCATTCTTCACTTGTTCCAAACCTGTCTGAGTTTCTTTCTTCTATTGAACACAAAGAAGGATAATTTGAAGAAAGCTGAAAACCTGTAGCCATTAACTTCCATATTATTTGTTTTTCCTAGTATGCAAGTCAGATTTTCAGCTTCTAAATATAATTTCATTTATTATAATATTATTTGTGTTAAACAGAAGAAATAAACTGTTTATGACTGTTTTAGTTTGAGTAAATTGTGAGTAAATACATTTTTGGGGGGTGAATTATCCCTATAACAGTACATTTTAACTTTTAATGAAACTATCACTTCAAGTAAGAATGGCATGTTTTTTTTTTTTTTTCATCTTTGGAGATGATATACTCCGAGTAAAAGTAAAACGAATATGATCAATATGAGGATGAAAACAAGTTGTCCAAAGAAACAAGCATTTCCAGCATCGAGAGCCATGAGGAAGTCCAACAGCACACCAACTGTGAAATGCCTCCAAGACGCAAGATTGTACACAGCAGTTGCACAGCATTCAGATTGAGGCAGGCAGAGAGACCCGCAGAACGGGGATGTAAGAGACAGACGCAGTGAACAGGAGCCATCAAATCAAAATATGAATGAACAGCCTGAGGCAGAATTACAGCCAAGAAAACAAACCAAAACATTTAGCTACATAGTCAAATAGTTTGAACGTTTAAATAAAATGTAAAAATAAGTTCAGACTCTCCTAAGCTGCATTTATTTGTTTGTTGAGTAGGATTGTAATTTACAATAGCTGTTCAGATTTGATAAATGTCATTTATTCTTAAGATAGCTGCATTTTCAGCATCATTGCTCCAGTGTTAAGCATCACATGATTTTTCAGAAAACATTTTTATTTAGATTTTCTGCTTTAGGAACATTTTTTTATTGTCATTATCCTTTTGAAATGTGTTGTGCTGTTCAGTAATTTTATGTAAATTGTGAAGTTCTTTTTTATTAAGTGTGGCTTTATTCAATCCATTGATGTTTCACAAAATGTGTTTATTTTAGGACAGACATCATTAAAATTTGCATTTCATTCAGTCAGGATTTCATCACTGAGGTTTGTGAGTTTTTATGAGCATCTACAAGCTCCAGATACATTTTCCAACCATTATTTTGTGGCACATTGTCACTTTTTTTCTCATTAAATTGAAATCAGACAACAAACTTGTACACACCTCAGGTAAAGGATGATTTCTTTCTCTGTGCCGGCATCGGTGGAGCGCCACTGATGAAAAGCAGAGCACAAAACACTGCCATCAGATGTTGATGCGTTCACATCATTATGGGTTATGTTTGTTGTCATAGAGTCTAGAGTTTAGTCAACCACGGTGTACTTTAACATTATATAGTTCTTTCCATCATTACAGAAAGTCATTTTCAAACAGGTGCAGACACTGATCTTTAAACATGGGGCTTAAATCCAATAATGGCACTGCAAATCAATAATCTTATCAGGATTTAAATAACAGCTTATTAAATCACAGCTTTTGTTAAATCCAAACCTTGTGTCTACAAAAAACAGCTAAATTATATCTGCAGTTTCCATGGTGATTAATGCAATGATGTTTTAAAAGTTCTCAATAGGTCAGACATTTTAATAACTTATAGAAAAGACAGCTATGTTCTTTTTTTCCTGAGGTTTTATTCTTGCTCTGAAAGTTTTCAGCAAGGTTATTGTTTTTAGATTTCATCATCTTGTATCTCTGTTTCCCTATAGGCACTTCCTGCTCAAGACTGGAACAGGCACCACGTCTCTCTTTACAACTCCCAATCCTGGATATACAATGGCAACCGGGACTGTTTATTCACCACCAGCCCGACCTTTGACCCGCAACACATTATCAAGAGGTGCATTCAAGTTTAACAAGTCGCCGAAACGGTGTTCGTGGAAATGCACCGCTCTCAGTGCCGTGGCTGTGGCCACCCTGCTGACAGTCCTGCTCTGCTACTGTATAGGTAACTTCATGTGATGTTTGTGTGTGTGTTGGTTCGGGTGTTCCCAAAATATTCCTATACTCACTTTATTTTGATGGTCTCTTTAACGCATTTTGTTGAATTTGAGTTACTTTGCAACTAGATGCCGACTAATTATCATTAGATTATAAGTAGACTGTTAGGTTAGGGTTAGTGTAAGTTGACATGTACTTGCAAAGTTTGACGTCAGTATCAGCAGATATTACGCAGACTATCTACTAATACTCAATAGAGAATTAATTGGCATGTAGTTGCTTTTGGTCAGCAAAATGTGCAATAGGGACCATCAAAATAAAGTCTTACTATCAAAATAAAGCTGAAACAACACAATGCTTGAGTTTTTTTTATGTAAATACATTTAAATGGGTTAAAACCCAGCATTTTTTTACAGTGTACCAGGGCTGTAAAAATTAGTCAGAAATACTATTTATATGTAAGTGCCAGAAGATACCCAGGGAGAGTTTGTTATCTGTTTAAACTGTCTGTCCAAAATCATACTTGAGTAAAAAGACTAAAAAAAAGTTCATCTTTGAGTTTGACTTAAAGGGCACCTATGGTAAAAAATAGGTGTGTGCGTGCGTGCGTGCGTGCGTGCCCGCGCGCGTAAACTTTGTAACGATATTGTGTGTGACTCATCAATGCAACTTCACAATACTGATTAGTAAAGGTTAGTTCTTACTGTAGTATCTCACAAACGATATGTGAGACCTTCTTCCTTTAAGTCTGTCTGTTGTCTGACGCAGCTGAGGGAGGAGGCATGTAGAAACAGTAGGCGGGAAAGACTTGTCTTAAAGGCGCAGTACGACAAAACCACCCCCTGCTGGAAATCAGTATAATACAGCATCTTGTAAAAGGTATAATGAAAAATCTGATGGGTATTTTGATCTGAAACTTTATATACACATTCTAGAGACGAAAAAACTTATATTAAATCTGAAAAAAGGGGTAACCTAGGGGCCCTTTAATTTAAAAAAAACTTTGAGGGTTAGGAAATGATAAGGGTATATTCAGTTTTGTGTGTGGTATCCGTTTAAAGAGCAAAATGCAGAGGCCGGAAAAATATTTCAGACAGAATACAAGAGTGTGTGTTGAATTAATGATGACTTAATAATGATAGTATTAGAATTAGGGATGTCAAACACTGATCAAGGGCCTGCAAGGCTGTGTCTATGTTTAAAAACTAAAGAAAAAGTTATTTGAACTAATTAATACTTTCATTAATTAAAAATTATATAATATACATTGTATTAAGATAAATGGACACAGAAATAATATAAAGCAAATAAAAATATGTAAACATGATTAAGTGCAATCATTTATTCATTAATTTTTGCTTCGTCTTAGTCACTTATTTATCAGAGGTCGCCACAGCAGAATGAAGCAACAACTATTCCGGCAAATGTTTTACATAGCGGATGCCCTTCCAGCTGAAACCCAGTACGAGGAAACACCCATACAGTCTCATATTCATAGACACACTCATTCACTACGGTGAATTTAGTTAATACAATTCACTTACACTGCATGTCTTTGATCTGTGGAGGAAACATACTTCTGATTATTACTTCTAATTCTGATTGAAATCAGATTCTGATTATTAATAGCAACCTTTACATATATTCATCTATTGTAAATCTCTTGATTATTTCTGATCATAGTTAATAAAACCTGTAAATATCTGTAAGTTTTACTAGAGATGCTCCGATCATGATTTTTGCAGTTGATTCTGAGTGCTAATTTCTTTTCATCGTGCTCGGCTGATACAGAGTATCGATTCTGATTCTCGGATAACTAAGTCAGAAATACTAGAAATCTTGGATTACTAAGATAATAAATGAAGCATGTTGCATACATTTAATATTCAGAAGCAGCTTTACAAACAAACAAAAAAATGGATAAAACAGACTAAAAAATGAAAAAAAAAAGACTAACAATGCAAATAGAAACTTTTCTCATGTGTTGTAGCGCTAATGGTGCATCGGTTCATGAGATTGGCCAGATTAACGAGTACCGTTCGAGTCGTGAAATGTGATTATTGGCCGGAGATCGATCAGAGCATACATTTTTCTATAATTGCACTTTACAACTTATACCTAGATCCTGTACTTGCTACTATTGCACTCCTGGTAAGACCTAAACTGCATTTCATTGCCTTGTACTTGTACATGTGTAATGATAATAAAGTTGAATCTAATCTAATCTAAACTCGAGCCCCAGGAGGAAACCCCTGCAAATACGGGAAGAACTTGCAAACTACACACAGAAATGCCAACTGGACCAGCCAGGACTTGAACCCGTGCACTTCTTGCTGTGAGGTGACAGTGCTAACCACTGAGCAACCGTGCCGCCTAAATACGATAATACAAATCCGTATGTAAAAATGTTAAGTTTAGAGGATGGTAGATACAGTTCCTTCACCTTGAACATCGTTATGTCTATGGGAAATCTAGTATAACTGGAAAATCAGTGTGTGTGTGTGTGTGTGTGTGCGCTACAGCTTATGTGACCAAGAGGTACTCAGGTGTTAGCTGTTTTATTCTGCCTGCCCCCATAAGAGATAGCGAAATAGCTCATCAGGTGGAGTTTTTCTTCCACAACCTTCATCCGTGGCCAAAACACCTGGTGCTCTGCTCTAAATAGTCGCCATATCCCAGAGGACGTCACATACGCACACATGTACTGTACTGGAAAAAAGACATCAATTTAGTGATTAATAACCGCAGTGAAGTTAAAGCAGACTTATTGTCCGCAGCGATCTATATTCACTCTGCCAGCCCTCACAAACTTTATAAGCACTGTTTCTTTTCTTTTTTTTGTATTCTCTCAGATTTCCCAACATTGTTTCCCCACTGTGAGTTATTTGCCGCAGTCGGAGGCTCCTCCTCCCCTGCTGAAGGCCTGTTAGAAACATTCATCCCTCCGAAGATCAAAACGGAGAGGAAGAGAGGTGTGTGAAGCGCTGCCTCCTCAGCAAGCTCCCTCGCTGTGAACTTTGAAGGAGACTTTTCCCAAGCTGTTTTCGCACACATCGAACGGTTAAAAAAAGAAAGAAAAAAAAAGGACTAGAAAGTGTTTGCCTCCGATTTAACAGCAATGCATGAAGAACTGGATGTTTTGAAGAGAGAAAGGGAGAAAGAGAGAATGAAAGAAACTCCTGTGTTATATAACGCAGACAGGTTTTGATCTTGAGGCTCTTTTTTAATCACTGGAATCTGATTTCATTTTCTCTGTTATAAATGTTTTCAGTGACGAGCTAAAGACTAATCTGGAGTATATTCAAAAACAGTTTGCGTCAAGGCTCCATGTGACGATAATTCAAAGAAAATATTTCCAAACAGCTAAAAAGACATCGCAGAGTATTCAAAGCAGATTATAATGAGGGAGATGCTTTCTTTTTATATGCGCTGCGCTTGTGTCCGACATGTGCATAAAAGGAGAGCTCAAATCACCTTCCGGAATGGCTTTCAACAGCTTTTAAACTATATCGTTTTGCAAATGAGTGTGTTTCGTGACATGATATGTGCTTGCTGTTCCGTTTCATGATCTTAATTGCCTTCTCTTGCAGCCATGCATGTACTTGGCCTGAACTGGAAGCTGAAGGATGTGGATAATCATGCCTTTGAGAATGGACGAGCCAAACCAGTGACGTTCCCGACCAACACTGTGACTGCAGTTTCTGCAGACGGTAAGTTTTCAAGGCCACAATCCATGACCTTTTAGTCAGAGAGCACGGCTTTTCTTCTGACATGCGCTAGATGTTTCATATAGAGTGCGGTTATTTCATTTCAATTGCTTATTCATTTGCTGTGCACTGTTTGCTTTTTTAGTTCATTGAATAGTATTGATTTTTCCCTTTGAAAGAGTGAATATGAAATAAACTATGTTATAATTTGTGTACATTCTCAATCAAGACATAAAGTCACAGTTTTGACTGATTTTAAAAAGAAGAGCTGCAAATATGTCACTATAAGACTATTCACTGTTGTATTTGCATTCTGCCACATAAATGTGTCTTCGCTAAACGGATATACAGTTTAAATCAGAAGTTTACATACACTGTATAAAAAGGCACATAACCATTTTATAAAAAAAAGTCAGATGTTAATGTGACTAATCTTTTTCTTGTTTAAGTAAATTAGAATTATCATTTTTTTTCTGTTTTGCTTAATAACAGAATAATGAGAGAGATATTTTTGGAGAAATTTTTATAACTTTTCTTGAAAGTCAAGTTTACATACAGTAAGATTATTATGCCTCTGAAAATGCTCAGATGATGGTGTCAAGGTTTTGGAAGTTTCTGATTGGCTAATTGACAACATTTGAGTTAATTGGAGGTACAACTGTAGAATAGTATATAAAGAAAACCTTTTTTTGTGTGACAACATGGAAAAATCAACAAGCCAAAAATCAACAAAAAAGCCAGATTACAATTTGCTAAATTACACTGGGGGAAAAAAAAAATAAAAAAATTGGAGACATGTCCTGTGGTCTGATGGAGCTACATCCTGACATCAGCCAGGAAATTAAAACTTGGCCACAAATGGGTCTTCCAAACAGACCATGAACCCAAGCATACTGCCAAATTAGTTAAAATGTGCTTTAAGGACAACAGAGTGAATGTTTTGGAGTGGCCATCACAAAGCCCTGACCATAAACCTATAGAAAACTTATGGGCAGAGTTAAAAAAGTTTGTGCGAGTAAAACAGCCTACAAATCTTACTCAGTTACACCAATTCTGTCAGGAGGCCAAAATTCCTTCAAACTATAGTGAGAAGCTTGTGGAAGGATACCCAAAACATTTGACCAAAGTTATAGAGTTTAAAAGCAAAGCTAAAAAGACCAAGGAAATGTTTGTAAACTTTTGACTGTCTAAAAACTTTGAAAAAAAAGTTCTCGAAAAAAATAATTCTCTCATTATTCTGGCATTTAGCAAATGTAAATCATTTAGGTAATCTTAACTGACCTAAAATAGTAAATTTGTTATGTAAAGAAGTTATGTTCCTTCTTTTAGAGTGTATGTAAACCTCTGGTTTCAACTGTAAAGCTGATCTTCAAATCCTGCGATATATGCAAATTACCTATGTTATGTTAACTAAAGCATCACATACATGCATTTCATTTATTGATTTATTGCTAATGTAATCTATATGAGTTTTTTGGCAAACAAACTATTTCATTTGTAGGCTACAGGAGGCTTTGTACTTCACTTCTGGAATTTCACACATTACTGTCAATATAGGTTAAATGAAACATCCGTTTTTGTCATACCGATACATGCAAGATATCATTCAAAACTGTACAAGCCAACTGTAGGGTTTGTATGGATTTGCATTCACAAAACATTCTACCTTTGTAAATGAAAAAAAAGCTTTCATTTTTATTGACAGACTCCACTGGTGTTATATGCATCTCTGTTGTCAATACCATTTGATATCAATTTAACATTGCAATCATTATCGTTTAACATTTTAACGACTGATCAAAAATTCTGTAGAAATACATAAATAAAATCTGTCATTTGTCGATGCTGTTGTGTTCTGCATGTATAACACATGCTCTACATTTTGGAGGAAGTGAATTTCAGATATGCGGTTCTAACAGCCAGATGCAAATAGACCTGTCCAGTTTCATCTGGAACGTGTCCCAGACCACCTCCTGAAGTAGACGGAGTGATTTATATCTGTCTCTAATGTGTTTCAGAGGGCATTTACACCAGCTCTATTCACAAACAGATAGCTCCAGTGACCATGTGTAAACAGAGAAACACTTTTAAATATAATTACATTGTGAGATATAAAGTCACAATTATAAGAAACAAATGCTACAGTTGTGAGATACAGTAACATGAGATACATGACAAAAAAGACTGAGGTGACAAAAACTTCTATTTTTAAGCAAAACCTAAAATGCATTGGAACTGTGGGACAGTTTGTTCATTATGAAATGTTGGTTTCTGGGTGCAGTAAGCAGAATTTATCAAAAAAAAAAAAAAAACAACGGATGGAAACCTATGGAACTAAATATTAGCTCATTAATATAAACTGAAGTGCTTAAACTCTTCATAAATTAGCTTTTTACTGCTATTTTATTTAGTCAGATTATTATTCCTTTCATTTGCCTCCTATAAAAATGCACACATACAGTTATTGGTAAAATCTTATTCATTCATTCATTCATTCATTCATTCATTCATTCATTCATTCATTCGTGCGTTCATTTTCTTTTCGGCTTATTCCCTTTATTAATCAGGGGTTGCCACAGCGGAATGAACTGCCAACTTATCCAGCGTATGTTTTAGGCATCGAATGCCCTTTCAGCTGCAACCCAACACTGGGAAACACTCTTGCATACACACACATACACTACGGTCAATATAGCTCACTCATTTCACGTATAGTGCATGTCTTAGTACTGTGGGGGAAATCGGTGCACTCTGAGGAAACCCATGCAAACACGGGGAAAACATGCAAACTCCACACAGAAATGCCAACTGACCCAGCTGGGGCATGAACCAGTGACCTTCTTGCCCACTTCCTTCCACATTTTTTAAATAAGTAAATATTAACAATTTACTGTTCTTAAGGCACCGCTTTTTTATGCTCGTGATGTCACAAAACAAGAAACAATGCTGCAAATGAAAGATGTAATGCCACATTTTTAGATGCAAATTTACAATTACACAGAAAAAAAAAAATTCAAATAAAGACATATGAAGTATACATTACAAGATATACTATATTGGTTACTATGATAGCCGTTGCACCAATATTAGATATACACTCACAAGTTGCAATGAAGTGATATAAAGTCATCTTATTAGATATAAAGTAATAGGGTATATGCACAGCTAGTGTTGCTTCCCATAACAATAAACTTCCAGTGAACGGTTCATGTGACTTTTTTCAATTTCATACAGTTCCTTTTACAGCATCAATGTTGTGATGTAATTCAAATATAATTAGTTAAATAGACTTCAGCATTTATTTAGTTGTTCAAGTGTAAAATGAGAAAAAAAGCCGTTTACAAGCACACCCCGTCAGGATCAGCAGGCTAGCACAGAAACTCTCTTAAAAACACTGGAGTAAAATAAATACTCATATTTTAAAAGACATGGCATGGAAAAATGTGTTTTAATGCAGTGTTTCTTGTACATTCTGAGACACACTTTATATCGGATATGAATCATGCAGTGAAGATAGTTGATTTTTAAAGAAAACAGACCTTAAATGCGCCAATTTTGTAACAGCATACAGTTCACCAGAAGTGTTTGATCCAGGTTACTGAAATACTTCTGCATACTTCTGCATATTCCCTATAATTGTGTGAAATGAATCAACCACCATGAACTGCTACTCACATTGGTCCATTCTGACATGCATATCCATGTAAAAAAAACGTCAATTTTTCACAATTTAATCAATTCCCAATGGATAAAATAAGTGAAAAGGATCATTGGAGTCATTTCTGTACTTCAGAGATACAAAAGTGACGGTATCTTTCACTTAAGGAGTGACAGTTTCAAAGAATAGCACCCGCTGTGCTGGGTTTATCCTAATTACCATGTTTAGAAAGCATCAGTTTGAATCAAGTCAATAAAGGACTATTTCCTCACTCTGAGTGCAAACCTGCCATGCTACATTGTGTTCTTTTAATTGACTAACTGCCTTTTTCTGAAGTGCACTATAAAGATGTTTGCCAGTGTTTTATAAACTCGTTGGCTGTCATCTGAATGATAGCCTTTTGAGAGTATAAAAGAGCATGGCAAATGCCTACTGCAACTTTTAGGGTAATGTTTGACATTTAGAGGCTCTCATCAGAAAATCATTCAAGAGATGATTTATCTGTGAACTTATAGAGAGGAATATTAAAAATTCTTTTGAAATCTTGGACTTGAAAGAAGAACAGTTTTTATCTAGGTCAGACGGGCCAGTGATTGTCAGATTTGACCAGGGTAAAATGAATCGGATTAAAAGGGAATAGCATATTACTGGATTTGCTTTGGCAACTAAACAAACATCAATACATCGAATATGCTCTATACAGTACATGAGTACCCGACAATAAAGCAAACTATAATTAATATCTAATCTAATACATGTATGTCTTGAGGGTTGAATCAAATGTGTGTCATTCAAAAGTTAGGGATTAATAAGATAAATATGTTAGTAATGTGATATTGTTAATTATTAATAATAAGTTAATTATTTCTCTCACAATACACTGAATTTTGACAGTAGTATAGTCTTTAAGTGAAGTTCATTTATGAACTAATTTCGAGAGGATCATGTGCCTATGATTGCTTGCAGCCGGCCCCGCATTATTTAATTTATAATTCACCAATCCAGGCCCGGATTAAGAATTCAGAGGCCCCTGGGCACAATGTCTTGTAGGTCCTCTACCTGGCCACTATAGTTGAATTAAAAATAATACTAATATAATATTTTTAAATAAGATGAATCTATAATGTATTGCCTGCATTTTTAAATAAATAGTATACAGTACATATATTTCTAGTCTACATAGATTTATTTAAAAAAAACTATTTTTAAAGCATACTTTGACAAAAATACTAATTCTAGTAAAAATTTATGTATTTTAATTGACTTAAGTTCACTGAAGCAGTACAAAAAATGTATATTTAAGCGTATTTTAATGTATAACTTCTATAAACTTATAATGCTTATGCTTATGATTATAACACCTCTCCAATCCAGTTCTACGAGTCCTCGATAATACACACACTTATTATTGATTCCTACTTGTCTTCCTTCTGATGAAGAGTAGGCAAAAGCTGATATGTAGGGGTGGAAAAAAAAGAAGAACATGTTTTCACATGCTAAATTCAAACCGGGTTCATGATCGATCACGTCAAAAAATGTAGCCATGCGCTTTACCAGCTATGCTACTCACGCTGCTGTCAATAGCGCTCTTTACTTATGTTATCTCTTATGATCAGTTAACTAGCTTATTCCAATGAGCTGTGCTATTTGCACTTAGCCTAAATAGACACTCCAAAATCGACATCTCCCCCCTCCTCGCAGGGGCCTGTGCCCATAATGCTCATTGGTTAATTCGGCCCTGCACCATTAAGACAATTCCTAAGCCACTATAAATATCCTAAGTTCCACATGACAAAATACTACTGACCAACAAACCAAATTTAAAATATGCTATGATATGCTGCCTTAAAAGTGTTTGCATGTGTCTGTTGACAGGAAGGGTTGGAGTGATGCTGCAGTATAACTCCACATTGGACACAGGGCAGGTGGAGATGGGTCAGCAAGTAGCACACGCCATTCCTCCAGGAGTTTTCTGGAGGTCCAGACTTATCATTGAACAACCACACTTCCTCAAGTTTAATATTTCCATTCAGAAAAACGCCCTGATCGGAGTCTATGGGAGGAGGGGGCTTCCACCTTCACACACCCAGGTAATACAAGATTAAAGTCTCGATTCTGTTATTTTATTAGTTATTTAAATTAGTCTTTTTTTTTATGAAATACACATTATTTAGAATCATGCATCTGCCAATTTTTTGCTCATTGACGTTTTTTCATAAGGAGTTTTTTAAACGAAGGTAAGTTTTCTAATGTAAAGAAAACATACAAAATAGACTTCAATTATTTATTTTGCTACACTGTCAATTTCTGTCTCTACATTTCAGTTACAATACATGTATTTTATATATTTTTCCCAAAATATGTTTTCTTTTCTAGTATATTTAGCCATAAATACTCTCTTCAGCAGCTTGTACTTACAGAAAACTTTGCAGTCAAACATTTATTCATACCTATATAAGAAGGATTTTACAGAGGGATATATTCATACATAAAATGCCTAATCATATGTAACATCTGTAATGTAATTTTGCTGACTGTTTACAGTATTTTCTAGGGATTTAACGGTATCAGAATTTCACGGTACGGTAATACCTCGGTATGAATGTCACGGTACGGTATTTATTGAATCATTTACAGGAAAAAACAAAACTTATGAAAATACTCCAAAAAAGTGCCAAAAGTGTCAATGACATACAAATTTGCCATCTATCTGTAAGCTTTGAAACAGGAACTTCAATTTTAATAACAAAAAAATATTAAACCATGTAAAAAAAATAAAGTTTCAATTTAGTAGTGTTGAAAACTCATCACATTCAACATTTAATCACTCACTCACTTAGATAGAGATGGGTTTAAAGGAAAATTATCATATAAATATAATCTGGTAAAAGCTGGTATCTCTGGGCATTTACAATGTCCCCTGCAACAGAAAAAAAACCCTCTCATTTGGGACTGAGGTTTCTGGGACAAGAGAGATATGACTTGGCCCAGGTTGACAGCAGTGGGTAACGTTGTGCATTGTCTTTCCCCCACTTGAGAGGACAAACCATGAGTAAGATAGAGGTCTCATGTCTGCATCAATCTGAACAGTGTGCTGACAACACCGCTATTCAGTACGCGCGCAACAACACAGCTGATAAGAACTCGCGCGACAACACAGCTGATAAGAACTCGCGCGACAACACAGCTATTCAGTACGCGCGCGACAACACAGCTATTTAGTACGCGCGCGACAACACAGCTATTTAGTACGCGCGCGACAACACAGCTGATAAGAATTCGTGCGCGACAACACAGCTGATAAGAACTCGCGCGACAACACAGCTGATAAGAACTCGCGCGGCAACACCGCTATTCAGTACGCGCGCGACAACACCGCTATTCAGTACGCGCGCTGCGACAACACCCGCTTTAGAGTTTTCCAGCTCTTTTTCATCCCCGCTTCTAGCAGCACACTCCATTTCCGCATTACTGGATCTGTAGCGACAACAGACCGCAAGGGATGATGGTCAAGCATGGGCTGATGGGAATTGTAGTTTTCGCTACCTCCCGTTCGCTTCATTCGCCTGAGCAAATTTTCTCTGAAGACCTATAGTTTTACCGAGTCATGCGACTTCGGTAATATCGAAAAAAATTAATATTGCGGTATGACGGTATTTACAATACCGTTACATCCCTAGTATTTTCTGAATAATTGAGTTATAAAATTAGATTCCCATAGTCCCCTCTGTAAAGACATTTGTCCCTGGTGTTAACAAAAATGAAATATGAATTCTGAACCAGACTTCATTCAGTGTTCAGATTTTTATGCTACAGTGGCTATGGAAAAAGTATCATACCCCTTTGAAATAATTACTTTATTTGTCATACAACCTGAAATGAAATTACATTCCAAATAACTTTCCCAGCCTTTGAAACGTTTATGTAGCCTTCTCATCGCCTGTGCCTTTCTACAACTTTGTCCCGAAGGTCTTTTTAAAGCAGGCTGTAATGTGATTACAGGTATAGATTTTCAGAGGGTATGATCATTTTCTATAGCCACTGTAAATAGAAATGTCTTCGAGTAAGTGCATATGGCATTAAACAGTGCCTCATTTCCACATTTATAACATTTTAAAAACATTTTAGAAATCTTGGTATTAGGTATATGCACAGCCAGTGTTACTTCACCTAATGATAAACGTCCAGTTTTATGGTTCATTTTACAGCATTGATGTTTAATGTAATTAAAATATAATCAGTTAAATAGACTTTAGCATTTATTTATTTAAGAGTATATCGAGATGCAAAGGCGTTTACACGCATTCGCCATCAGGATCTGATATGGCGCTGAAAAATGTGATTTAATGCAGTGCTTCTTGTACATTATGAGACCTACTTTATATTGTATATCAATCAGACAGTGAAGATCATTGATTTTTTTTAAAGAAAACAGACCCTAAACGCACCAATGTTCAAACGGCATGGTTTACTGGAAACATTTGATCTAGGCTACTGAAAAAATAAAAGCCCTTCTGCATACTTCAGCATATACGCTATTATTGTGTGAAATAAATCAACCACCATGACCAGCTACTCACATTGGTCCACTCTGACTTGCATATCCATATCAGATAATGTCTATTTTTCACAATCCAATCAATTAATGACAAATTTCTATAGCCTCTGTATCTAGAAATGTCTTTGAGTAAGTGCATATGTCATTTAACAGTACCTCATTTGCACATTGAAACATTTAAAAACATTTTAGTGCATTAAATATTGTGCATTAAATAAATACAATTAAATATTGTAATGCATACTGTAAAATGCAATTCTTTATGTAGGGTCATTCTTTGAGAAATGTTTGATAACTGTTTTTCAACCTGTTCACTTCCAGTGCCCTAATCTTCCAAAATGAACTGGCTTAACTCTCTTGGTTTTATTAAATCACAGTTACATCTGTAGTCTGCAAAGTATTGGCAAAGTATAAATCAAGACATGGAGGACTCAGCCGTCAATGGTTGTTCAACAAATCCTTCTTTAATCATAACAAAACTACTCCAACAGAAAGACAGATCTTCTCTCTGTCTCAGTGATTGGCTGGGTGTTTAAAACTCACAGCTGTCAATAAAAGCAGCATCTTTTGTAAGTGCTGAGGAAAACTGTCCAACTTATTGTAGATGTTCAATCAATGTGTCCCCAAAGCCATCACAATAAACTAAAGCAAGCTTATTGAGTGCTGCTTCCAATTTGCCATGTGTCTCCTTATTGCTTTTTTGCAGCTGACCAGTTGGAAATCAATCGGAGAAACTTTAATTTGGAGTCTCGAGTTAGTAGATCTATCTATTTAAATGCTCTGTTTGAATTACGGAAAGTTCTGCTGGATAACACACTCCTCGACGCAAGACATCTTTAAAAGATTTCAGCATGATATTTTAAAGCCAGACAGGGTAATGGCAGCCTAAATGTCATGGTGTCTGGATATTACATTTGCCTTTTATTTGGTTGTAATGCTTCTGGTAACAGCTGAATAATGGCGAATGTCAAATGTAATTCTGTTTTGTTTCAGTATGACTTTGTGGAGCTTCTGGATGGCAGTAGGCTGATCTCGCGAGAGCGCGTTCAGTTGGATCCGGAGCTCAGGGACCGACTGGAGATACCGGTCAGCGTTCAGCAGGCAGGATTTATTCAGTACCTGCACACCGGTGTGTGGCACCTGGCCTTTTACAATGATGGCCGCACTGTAGAGCCTGTCTCATACAATACCATAGTACTAGGTGAGCTAGTGCATGTAATAAAACCGTGCGATTGAGTGCAAACGCATTTGTCTTTGTTTATGCACTTGGTTATGTTATGTTTACAGCTTATTTCTGCACCACTGCTGAAAATGTAATTTTGTGCCCAACATTATGTAATGTGACGCTTGACAGAGCAATTGGGCCAGTGTAACAAGCTTTTACAGGCGCCTTCAGATGGCCTTTTTATTTATATATTTCTGCCTTGCACCCAAGTGCCTGAGATAGCACAGCAGTGATAATGAGGCGTGCAGAAGCATGCCCTGAGTTGTTGGCTAATCAATAAGTTTGATTCTGCTGCTATCTCTTTCTGTCAGGCCAGGAAATATGGAGGCCAAAAGACTAAATCTCTAAGCCCTGTGCTGCTGAGCTGTTTGTTTGTTTGTTTTTTTGTCTTTAAATATAATTTTATTTTGTGTGTTACGCGGTCATGAGCTGGAGGATCTGCTTTTATTTAAAGCAAAGGAAAGCACTGGCCTTTTCAATTATTTATACAATTATTTATTAACTGGGAATTCAGTAGGCAACTTCCAAAGAGACTGCTTGTAATGCTTGATTTAAAGACACTCCAGTGGTGTTTTTACTCCTGTTTTTCTTGGCTTGTTAGAGCACAAACACGAGGCTGTGTAAAAATGAAGTTTATATGCGATGGATAAATTGTAATTTTACTGTGTGATCTTCTTTGTGCAGAGTCAGTGATGGAATGCCCACACAATTGCTATGGCAATGGAGAATGCGTCTCAGGCACGTGTAATTGCTTCCCAGGATTCCTTGGGCCATATTGCTCGAGAGGTATGTGAGAAAAAAGAAAGAGAGATAATTATGTTTAATGAAAAATTTGTTCTGGGGCTGTTAATGGTTTTCTTCATGACAGTTAAGCACAGAGCACATTAAGTCTTGTAATTGTCATAGCTGAAAACAATCTGCTGGTCACTTAATTAGGTACACTTGTTAATTTGCTTATTAACGCACATATCGAATCAACCAATCACATGGCAGCAACTCAGTCCATAAAAGCATGTAGACCTGTACTATACCCTATAGACCAGGGGCCTCATGTATCAACGTTGCGTACACACAAAAACTTTGCGTACACCAGATTTCACACTCACGTTTGGATTTACTAATGATGAAATGAACGTGAAAATGTGTGCCATGTGGTCTACGCCAACTTCATGCCTGGTGTACATTCATTTCTTGTGTGTGTTTGTTATATTTCCTTTGGCGACTCCTAGAGGCAGATGTCTAGCAGGTATATATTTATATATGGTTTCCATACCATGCAGTTGACCAGCCAAAAATTAAAGTGCAATTGCAGTGGTCGCAGATTTTCCCAATGTAATCGGAGCGATCTACTGCACGCACATTGCTATAAAGGTGCCACTTAAAGACGAATTTGTATATGTGATCAGAAACATTTCCGTTCAGTAAATGTGCAAATAAAATATGATGCACAGACATATTAATAATTCCTACTTGTCTTCCTCATGATGAAGAGTAGCCAAAATCTGATATGTTGCAGGGGAAAAAATTAAGTATGTCTTCATCACTGTATTCGAACCGAGTTCATGCTCGAACGTGTCAAAACATGATGCCATGCCTTTTACGAGCTACGCCACTCACGCTGTTAAAGATACTACAAAATTTTACACCTTGAACATAGCACTGAGTGGATTAAAAAAGAAATAGTGTGATGTTTAGACCCAACTGTGTTAACCGCATCAGTTAAACTCTCTCACTCTATTTTTCCTTTTGGTTTTAATTCCGGACGGCAAACTTGCAAATGACACCGTTTTTCTCCGGTCTACCTCCGAAAGCAGCACCACCAATTCACATTCTGTTCGAAGTTTCTCTTTTTGCTTGCTTTTGCCATTGCTTTTTCGTTGGGTTTTGCCAAAGTATAGTAATTAGCATATTCATACGGGGGAGGAGGCAGGGAGGGGTTTGCGCTCGTGCACGTGCGCTCAGTTTCATGTTCTTTTGGATGTACAAAGAGAATATGCGTGTAGGGCCAGTGTCCTACTGAGGTTAGCTCCAACTTGCTTCAATATACCTCCCAGGAGGTTTCTAGTAGATCCACTAAGAGCTTTATTGGCTAGTTCAAGTGTGTTTGATTAGGGTTGGAGCTAAACTCTCCAGGACACTTTCAATACGGATGTCATGTTCAGGTTTTTTTGCCCTCGAGTCCAAGTCATTTGATTTTGAGCATCTACCCATACCGAAACCTGATCCTATACTTCTATTTGAAAAAAAATAAATAAAGAAAGAAAAGTGAAGAAACAGATCCAGGATGTTTCTTCTCTTTTATTTAATTCACCTTATTTTAACATTCAACAACTCTGTTAACAAACAGACCACTTCTGTGAGATAACTTGAACAATCAAGTAATAAATAACATACATTTTTAGACTTAAGTGCAATAGTAAATATATATATATATATAAACTCTTATGTAAAAACAAATAGCACTTCAACTTAAAGTACCCAGCAGGCAATCTCAAGTTTACATATCTCACAGTTTGCTATGGCATTGTTATCTTCATCAAATTTATAATAGCTCCTGACCACAGACATACTCGCGCTTTACACTTCAAGCTGTTTCCTTGTTCTACTTTGCCAGCATTTAACTAACAGCGTCTCTGCAAGTAATGTCATGCTGCATGCATTGTTTCTGTGTGAAGTCAAGAAAGAGGTCTAACTCTGTGCTACTCCAGAACTATTGATGTCTTAAAAAATGAGAATACATACATATTTGAGTCCTGATTGGGAGGTAACATCCTATTCCGATCAACCCTGAAACTGCGTGATCCCATCACATGATCGGATCTGGATATCCCTACTTTTCACAATTTTGGGTTTTCAGCAGCAGAAGTCATCATAGTTGGGTAAACTTAGAGCGCAGTGAATGGGAGAGTAAAACAAATGTTATTTTTTTACATCCTTATTGTATAAGGATTAAATAATAATATTAAATAATAATAGAAAAATTCCATGATGGTGTTATCAAGACTTCCAGAAAAAGGAAAAAATTTGTATGAGACTGATAATGGAAGCCAGAGGAGAGACGCCATAATGTCAAATTTACTCTCTCCCCCCTCCCCCAATATATTTAAAATATATTAAAATATAATATATATTATATATATATATATATATATATATATATATATATATATATATATCAATATTCAAAATATTAAGAAAATGATTTAAGATTATGATAAGCGTTAAATGCATCATAAGTCTTGTGAAAAACATTCTAAGTAGACTCAACCAATCATACAAATCACGGCAATGAGTAACAACTGATGTATACTCAACAGCTAGAGATAAACCATAATGCACTGAAAATTTGCACACCGAATGAAAACATTATCTTAAATATTCACTCGTTACAACCGAGGTTTGCAGAAGAGCATCTCTGAACGCACAACACATCCAACCTTTAAGCAGATGAGCTACAGCAGCAGACAAGCACACTGATAACAATTCTATCAGCTACACTGAGAAAATGAATGAGATGGGGAAATGTCTTATCAAATTGGAAAAATTGGTATAAGATTGCCAACATTTAGATGGTTTGGTCAGTATTTGCCATAAACTACAGGAAAGCATAGACCCTTGCTGCATTTTAAAAACAGTTCAGGTTTCTGATAGTAGTGTTAGGATATGAGAATCATTTTCTCTTGCACACTCGGTGCCTCCTCAAACAAAATGAGCATCACTACACTCTTGTTGCTGATCATGTCCATCCTTGTTTGACCGCGGTGAACCAATCTTGTGATTGTTGCCTCCAGCAGAATAATGTGTCATATCACAGCTCAAATCATCTCAATCTGACTTCTTGAACACGAAATTCACTTCACTAGACTCAAATGGCTCCACGGTCACCAGATCTCAATCCAATAGAGCACCTTTGGAATGTGGTGGAATGGGAGATTCACATCATGGATGTGTAGCCAACAAATGTGAGATGCTATCATGTCAATATAGACCAGATTCTCAGAGGAATGTCTACGCCACTTTATTAAATCTATGCTATGAAGAATTGGAAGGCAGCTTTGAATATAAAAAGGGGTCTATATTTGTAAAGTTTTTCATGTGCTCAATTCAATTTCACGACAGTTAAGCACATTAACACTATAATTGTAGTTACTGGGAAAAAAAATAAATTAAAACGCATATATTCAACAGCAAGACCATAACTCTTATACTGTTTTTAATTTGCATGTTAACTTTAAAATAAAACAACTGTGTCCAGAAAGGATGACTTCCATTACTAGATTATAATAATGAGAATCTAATGAGAATCATGATTGAGATTAATGAAATTGCACAACTCAAATTGTCCTGGGTATGTTTCTTGTGTGTGTGAGATTCTCTCATCCGTGATCTACTTTCATCCATCTAGCTTTAATCATTTTTTTCCTCTCACTATTAGCGGCGTGTCCAGTGCTGTGCAGCGGGAATGGTCAATACAACGGCGGTCGCTGTCAGTGTTACAGCGGTTGGAAAGGGATCGAATGTGATGTGCCCAGCGGTCAGTGTATGGATGCTCAGTGTGGGGGTCATGGCCTGTGTGTTTCAGGATCCTGCATATGTAACCCTGGCTTCAGAGGTGACAACTGCGACCAAGGTAACTGGACAATTTTCAGTAGCTATGCAAAGAAACTCCAACACATGTAGCTCATTGTGGTGAAGGAGGGCGCTTTTTCAACACCAGCGCGCAGCTAATTACATGGATGAGTGTGCTGACTTAAAGACTGGTTTTTGTTGTGATAAATTAGCCACACCATTTAGCAGCATCCACTGACTGAAATGGATTCTACATATGGGATCGAGATAAGGCAGACAGCCAAGAAAATACCCCTTGTGTGCACACAAAATATTTCCTGTCTTGTGATTCTTCTCCTCCCGCTGTCTCTGGGTAAAACCAATTGAGTCTATCGATCCACATTCAATAGGCTTGGGAATGAACTCTTTAGATGTCTATGTTCGGGTCACTTGACCAATGTTATAATTGTCATTGGACTGAATAAGTAACCTTGAGGTCGGGAAGAGAAAGAATGACCCAGTGAAAGAGAGACTTGCCGAATAGATTTTTAAAAGCATGTTTTTCTATTCTACTCGTATTATAAAGTTGTACAAAATACTGTGAAAAACATTCTTGATTTTAACCAATTTACAATCAATGCTGTAGCTGGAGTGGTCATATCAAATCGGTTGGCAATTAAAACCTTCAAATAGTTTTGACGAGTGCACTTTGTTAGTATCTTGATGTGATTTTTTAAAAACTGCATGAGGCTTTTCGTCAATAATTAGTTTTAACAGGCTTAAAGTAATAGGCATCCAAAAACAAAATGTGGTCCCCATTTACTCAACTTACTAAAAAATTGAATTTATTTTTCTGCCCTTGTTACACTGCAAGTCCAAAAAAAGCCATCACCTGTATTTAACTTCGCATATAGGCAGGAGTCTCCGCGTATATCACATAGATTATTAGATTTCACTTGGTAACAAGTTGCTGTATTTAACCTTAACTTATGTAGAGAGTAACGATTTAATTCTTGAACATCCATGTCAGAGGACACGTTGTGTTTAAGTTAATGTAAGAGCAGTGGTCCCCAACCTTTTTATCACCATGGACCAGTCAACGCTTGACAATTTTACCATGACCAAGAGTGGTGGGTGTATGTAGATGTGTGTATGTATGTAGGTGACCATCAACCATTTTCTCAGGATAACAAGCTGAAAAAACATTGCTGCAACTCTGATTCAAGATTTATTAATGGAGAAAATTTTTATTTGTTGGCGGAGTAATGCAGGATGGTAAAGAGGTTGTACGAGTTCTGTTATTATGGCATATATAATGTGTGGTTTATCAATAATTTATAAAAAAAAACAACACAGTGTCTTTCTGAAAATTTAGTCCCGTGGACGTTTCTGGAGACTGTGAAATACATCCCGGAAGGTATGTATTTTTGCAATTTTGTTTTTGCGTATCGATGAGAGGCCACTGTGTGCGCTTTTTTATATCTCATATGTCTCTCGCGAGTGCCGTTCGTGCCCGCACTGTTCTTGCGTAAACCCACCCGAGGCCGCTGTCGACTGTCTGACTGACTGATTGACTGACTGAATGAATGACTGGGTGACCGGCCAATTAACTGACCCACCCTTCTCCTTCCCTTAACCCAAGCAATTTCTTCAATTTACAACCCACCCAATTACTTCCCTGAACCCAACCAATGGTTTACAAAAGTCCAAAAAAAGAAAAGCCCTTGTCTGATTTTTACCACGTTTTGGGATTTTCCCTTATTCTCACCCTGTTATTCACTTGTTCATTTTATTTTTTGGATTCTGTTTTTGTCTTGCCTGATTTCTGGAACCGCTCTTCCCCCGACTCGAACCCGGTCGTCGTCGTCGTGGTCAATTCCACTCCGCGCCTCAAGTCTGCTGATGTACACGACAAGCTTACTGGACAAACTGGTTGCAGTGGGAAAGCCCTCCACAAGAAGTTAAGCGGTCAGCTAGTAAGCGCGAAAAGGAACGCAGTCATACCGCTCCGTAGCGTTTGCTTAATAAATAATATGCATCCATAAATACCTCAGGCTACATAATTTGCGGCCTGTAGAAACGTCCACGGGACTACGTTTTCAAAATGAGCCTGTGTTGAAAAAACTTACTTACTTACTTTGCAGTACTTACTATTTCCTAATTGTCAATGAATAATAACTCCTTAACAATGAAGCTAAAAGAGAAACAGAAACATTACATAAATTTGTATATTTCAGCAGCTGATTGGTCAGTTCTTGTCACGTGACTCACTGTGTGCTCTGACAGCAATTAGAAGATGTTTTCAACTGGGTGTGCCTCCATTGAGAAATAATGAACTTGTGTATGAAAAAAAGATGCAATACTTGTGTACTGAAAAGACGCAATAACAACCACCGTCATTTGCGAGCTCAGTTTTTCTTGCACACACAGACATGCTGGATTTGTTGACAAATGCATTGCGGATCCTTTTGGCTCTTCGTGGGTCCTTCACTGGCCTTTTTTCCTACGTAAAGAAACATTCCAAAGATGTCTGTTTCTTACTCATTTTGCTGCATGTGGGTTAAACTTTGGCGCTCAAGTCAGAGATCTAACCAAGAGAATACAATCATTTTTCAAAATAAAAGGTTTTTCAAAATAAATGATTGTTCAGACTGCGATAATAAATAAATAATAATTTCTTGTGCGACCTGGTACCAATTGATCCACAAAATGGTACTGGTCTGTGGCTCGGGGGTTGAGGACCAATGATGTACAGTGTACATAAACAATGCGAAGTGAACTCAAGGGATTGGGACTAAAGAGCTGTGTAACCTTAAGGAGTTCTGTGGTCTGATAAGTCCAGATTTACCCTGTTCCAGTGATGTGCATCACAGTAAGAAGAGAGACAAAAGAAGGGATGCATCCTTCTGCCTATGATACAACCTTGTGGAAGCAGCACTCTGGGGATGCTGGAGTTGGTCAGGTCTGAGATCAGCAATGTGACCTGCCCAAAGAATGAGGTCAACTGACAACCTGTATATACTGAATGACCAGGTTATTCCATCAATGCTTTTTTTCTTCTCTGATGGCACGGGCATATTTCAAGATGACAATGCCAGGATTCATCAGCCTCAAATTGTGAAAGAGTTGTTTAGGGAGCATTAGACATCGTTTGAACACATGGCCACTACAGAGTTCAGATTGTAAACCTATTGAGAATCTTTGGGATGTGCTGGAGAGGAGTTTACTCAGTGGTCTGATCGTCAGTAGGCAACTTTGGGCAGGAATAAATGTTGCTAGAATAATGAAATAATACTACAGCAAAGCTAAAGGCAGTCCAACAAAATATTAGAGCGTGTGACTTTTTATTTTTTATTTTTGCATGGGCAGTGTACGAGAGTGACTGTGGTTCAGTGTTATTTTAGACTCTCTGTCTTTCATTTTATGCTTGAATTTTCAGACTCCAGCAATGAGGAACCGTGTTTATAACACCTACAGGGACACTCAGACAAGATAGCTGTTAAATTCCCCAAAATTGCAAGCGTAAAATTAAATTAGTACCTCTGTCCCTGTCTCAACAAGAACTAAACATCATGCTTCCTAAGGCTGTAATTTATGGTCCGGGCATAAAATCTGGACCCTTGAGCGATAGGAAAAAAATGACAAATGTGATCAGAGAAGTCCTCGTTCAACCTGTTCCCTGCATCTGCATAAGCTTATTTTGGGGGAAAGCCAAATTATACATTCAACCCTCATGTTCTGATGCCAACTGTAAAACATGAGGATGGATTTGTATGTACTTCCTCCTCATGGGCAACATGTGGTCCCATAATTGCACTGCTTGATCATAGAGCTGCAAGAACAGGAAGCAATTTTACTAGAGCAGATATATAAATATCCCATGGTGCAAACACTGTTCCAATATTTCATGATGGTAATACCTCAAATCCAAGAATGAGTACTTGAATAGCAGCAGGAAGCTAAAATGAACCATTGATTCTTTGCAAGACTTGTTGGAGTACAGTTTTGAAACTTTCAAAGAAAAAGAGTCATTTTTTTGTGGAAATGATTATCATTATGAGAAAATACACAAAAACCCAGAGGTATATGTATTGATGGCAGTTTAAATAATAAGATATTGTTAAGTTTTAATTAATAAAACATTAAATATAATATTGTATAATCAGATACAGTGGTATTTGTGCTCTATGGTTGTGACATGGACAGATGTTCACAGAAAGAGTCACAGCAAAGAGTTAAGAGCCTTGTTTATTTCCACAGTGGACTGTGTGGACCCGTCCTGTTCAGGCCATGGCTCGTGTCTCCATGGTCAGTGCCACTGTACCTCAGGCTGGACTGGATCCAACTGTGAGACGCAGCTCTCTTTGTGCCCAGAACACTGCTCTGGCCACGGCACATTCCAGACTGAGACCAGCAGCTGCGTCTGTGAAGCCAACTGGACCGGTCCCGACTGCTCCTCAGGTACCATTTATTCACCCACCACAACACCAGGCATGGCATAATTTGTAATATGGTTGGATTTAGAATTGACCTGTTGGTAAACTCCAGCCCCTTAGTTACGACCGATAACCAGGACAAACAAACAATGCAAACTGTCATACAATGATAGCTGTCAGTGTGAGAACGTAAACCAATTACAGAGGAGCATTCAAGTGGAAATTATAAAGATTTGTTTTAAATGATGAACATTAATTTGCAAACAAGGGATTACTTCATACAATTGAAGCTGGAGAAGACATATGTTATGGTTATAACGACTGCAGGTGAACATAGTAAGATTTAGGTTATTTACATTTAAGCAGTTAAATGTAGAGATTGGCATGAGCTAATTAATGTGAGTGCTACTCGTTTTACCCATGGCAGAGACTGTGTTATTACACAATAATTGCTTTTAATTCACTTTAGACTTCAGCAGAGTTAAAAACATTGTTGCTTTGAGTTACCTTCCTTGTTATCCTTGTTAATCATTTGGATATTTATGGCTCATTTCCACTGAGTGGTACAGTACAGTATGATTAGTTACAGGTCATCTTTATCAGGCTTGCGTTTCCACTGCTAAAAGGGTACCAATGGTACTCTTTTTGTTGGTGTGGTGTACAACAGAAAGAGTCATTCTCACTCGAGGAAATGTCAAATTAAAGCTTTATGAGTCGTTTACATATCATATGAGAAGCATTTCTCACAAAACAGATGCTTCATAGACATAAATACTTGTGTAAATGGCAGTGGTGCAGTAGGTAGTGCTGTCGCCTCACAGCGAGAAAGGTCGCTGGTTTGATCATCGGTTCAGTTGGCGTTTCTGTGTGGAGTTTGCATGTTCTCCCTGCGTTCGGTTGGGTTTCCTCCGGGTGCTCCAGTTTCCCCCACAGTCCAAAGACATGCGGTACATCTGCTGCGCAAAAAAATTTACTGGATAAGTTGGCGGTTCATTCTGCTGTGGCGACCCCGGATTATTAAAGGGACTAAGCCGACAAGAAAATGAAAGAAAGAATACTTGTGTAAATGTTCATTACTAACCTTTCAATGTACATGATTTGATTATAACTGCAGATCAATGATAATGCATAATAGCCCACTGTAACGTCTCCCATTACAAAATAAATAAATAAATACAGCATATATGAACACATACAGAGCTTTACACTCTCGGATATGTTATCAATTACAGAAAAACTACACACAGCATACATTTAGTCCTTATTTGGAATTAAAAACAACACGCTACATATAGCCCACAGTGCAAATCTCTCATCTGTATCTTTAATCCTTACCAGCACATGCAAATTTTTGTTAGAAAATAATTCTGTCATTCCAAGTTCATAACAGTCCAAAAGGCGATAATAATAGTTAAACATGGCAGTTTGTTCATGTTTTAGGTTGCTGAAACAATCATTTGATCTTTTACTTTTTCTAGCTTCTCCTTCGTTTTTTCACATGTCTCTCTCGCGTTTTTCTGAAGCACTTCAATAATCACACGCACGCTATTATTATCAGCTCAGGAAGTTTGTTATTTCAATTTTTTTTTTATTTAAATGCGCAGCGAACACAGGCGAGAAATCGAAACCGCTTTAGACGGCGTTGTAAAAAAACTATGGGGCACAGGGTAAATTCTGCTCTTCTTCTTGGCTTTGTGGCTGTTCATCAAGATGACAACAAGGTTTGTTTGAGCTCGGGTCAACCACAACTCGATATTTGTATATGTTATTACGGTGTAATGTCTTGGCTGTGTTTTTAAAATTGGTAGTTCCTTTGTTTTCATTTTCCTGGCTTGTTGCAGAAGCAAGTGACGTTTCTCTGTAAACCAATAGCATTCAATTGTAAATGCTTTATTTCAGTTGTCTTGCTCCACCTTTTGGTATCCTTTTGTTGTGCTAGGTACTCTTTGCAAAGTGGTATGGTGCAGTTCATTTTAGGTACCTTAACAGCTATAAAAGCGTACCGAACCGAACTGTGCCACTCGGTAGAAACGGGCCATTTGATATCTTGTCTTTGGGTGATTACAAAACTAAAATAAGTTCCATTCTCGTCCTCTTGGGACACAAATCAGCGTTAGCAATACCCTCGATACATTGTTCTACCATTTTTTGTAGCATTAACACAATCCAACCTATGAGAGCTTCAAATATTGCATTGTTCCTCTATGGAGCTGATTTCAAAATCTGGTTCCCATGCAATTGAGGCTCAACTGCCATTGGGTTGTCTCCATTTGAAGGGAGGGAGTTTATCCAGAAAGCTTTTTGGAAATATCCAAGTCTGTGTTTGTTTCCAGGGTTAAATTTAATGTGGAAATTACAGCATTGACACACTGAGCTGTAAGGTCATAACATTATTACTACTAAGTGGTTGGGAGGTGGCATGGTGGCTTAATAGTTAGCACTGTCACCTCACAGCAAGAAGGTTGCTGGTTTGAGCCCGACTGGGTCAGTAGGCATTTCTTTGTGAAGTTTGCATGTTCTGTCCGGGTGCTCTGCTTTCTTCCACAGTCCAAAGACATGCGCTAAAGGTGAATTGAATAAGCTAATAATACTGTAGTGTATGTGTGTGAATGCAAGAATGTGTATGGGTGTTTTCTAGTGCTGGGTTGCCACTGAAAGGGTATCTGCTGCATTTAATATATTCTGGATAAGTTGGTGGTTCATTCTGCTGTGATGACCTGTGATTAACAAAGGGACTAAGCCAAAGAAAAAGAATGAATGAATGAAATGGTTGAACTGAATCATTACTGTCGGAATGATTGTGAGTCAGTTCTGTTGCCCACATTTAAACCAAATTAATGTTTGTTTCTAGTTTGCTTAGCCTGTTGTGAGTAACCTTTCAATCATGTCAGCATTTCCTGTGGCCATGCTGCACGTACTGCACGCTAATCTTACAGAAGGAGCTGCAACTTCCATATGTTACATTCCCTTGGTGATGCCTGTAAGTAATTGGTGAAAAGAGAAAGAAATGCGGCTGCCAGGCTGTTTCTTCTGAGAATGTTGTGGGAATTATGCCATTATAAGTGCATGTGGTTTTGGAGTATGGGAATTTGTGTGATGCAAATGTGAAGAGAACAATAAATGTGCCGCTGCAGTCATCAAAAAGTGTTATAGTAGAACAGAAATCATCACAGATTCAGTTTAATGTGTTTGACTCTTAAAGTAGGCAAAGAAATTCCAAAATAAAGTTTTTTTTCTCTTTCATTTTTGAAAGAGGTGCATTTATTTGGTCAAATCTAAAGTAAACATTGCAATATTATGCAATATTTTTGCAATATAATAATAGCAATTTAAAATAGTTGTTTTTGACTTAATTTAATTCTTAGCAATTTAATTTAAGTCTGTAGTGTCATGTGATCCTTTAGAATTATTTTAATAAGTTGATTTACTTACATTTTATTCATATTAATGTTGAGAACATTTTACCGGCTGCTTAATATTTGTTAATGGGGTATATGCACACAGACTTTTAATTTCAGTCAGCCAGCCCCAACCAAATGGTTGCTTAAGTCTATTTACAGGGGTTCCACAAGGTTTTAAAACATCTTAAAACATCTTAAAAAAATTTAAAAACAAGATTTTAGGCCTTAAAGTCCTATATTCAATAAATTGTTGTGTTGTAGTTTTTAAATCATTTTAAACAGGTCTTTATTTTCTTTGTCCAAGTAAAGCTACCCAATAAGGTCCATACAATCACCAATAGTTTTTTTTATTATTATTACAAAGAGATACACCACAGCTGTTAGACATTGTTACAGCAAATTCTCCTAATTAAATTGACTAAGCAGGGAAAGAAAACTAAAGCAATACATCCTTTACATGATCTTCCATTAACACACAAACTATTTACAGAAGTAACCCATTATTTAAAAAATTCTTAGTGTTAAGCCCTGTTTAAGTCTAAAATTTAATCCATAATGGTCTTAAAAGGATCTTAAAAGTCTAAAATTTGACCTGAAGAAACTTGCAGAAATCCTGATTTAACTGATTATATTTGAATTACATTACAACATCGATGCAGTAAAAGGAAGCTTATGAAATTGAAATAACATAAAGCTTTCATCAGAAGTTCATCATTGGCTAAAAAACACTAGCTCTGCGTATAGTCCATTGAAAAGAAAACTCAAAAGAACAGCATTTATTTAAAAAAGAGCCTTTTAAAGGTCTTAGTTGTCATTTTGATCACTTCAATGCATCCTTGTTAAATTGAAAATCCTATTGACACCAGTCTTTTGAATGGTGCATTGGTGTACATTTATATTCTTGTGCAAACACATTTTATGGGGATTTTGGGTTCCATCTAATTTCGATTTATTTTTATTACTTGCATTACATGACATTCATTACTATTGAGATATAAGAATTCTGCTAAGCAGCTTTATTTCAGTGTTCAGATTTGAACGAATACAAAAGCAGTTCATTACTTGCTTCATGAGAGTTTACGAGTTTAGCGTCAGACCACTTCAAGCTGCAGCTCCGGCCATGGGAGCAATGGGAGTCCACTTGCTTGCACAGTTGGGGTTTTGTCTCTTCATTACCTCCACTGTTCCACCTCAATTAAATAAACTTTAATTAACGGGTGTACGGCGTGGATCGACCAGCCTCCCGCTGGAACCTGGAAGTGGTAAAAACAGATAAACACCTTGCCGCTAATGAAAAATTGATTACATCGACTAGTGTGGAAAAAGAAGGCTGTTAAAAAAAAAAAAAAGATTGAATGAATCAACCACCTCTTCACCCTTTTAGAGCAATTTAATATTCCAGAGAGCCAGCACAACCTAATCAGACCCTCCAAGGTCTTGCAATTGAGGAAAAAAACCTTCCTCTGAGAGGGACAGAGAAAGGTCCCTCCTGTACAAACATCAGAGACTCTTTACTTACATTTTGCTCAATTTGATGTTGTATCCGTTATTTATTTGTCAGGAGGACTTTCTTCCTGCTCTAAAAAGTTGCTTGACAAAGAAATGGCTTAATGGAAGACCAATTCCGAACTTGCCTGAAAGGTTGCCTTGGGCAGCCGTGGAAAACTTTGGAAAAGTCACCGGTGTAATTTCTCTGCAATGATAAATTGGCTCCAAGCATGGCCTTATAAAATCAAAATTGCCCCAAGCCGTGTTATTTGGTGGGTTTTTAGGAGTCGTTTCAGTGATAGTTCTAAGGACATAATGATTTGTAGAAATAAAGGTGGATGGGGCCAAGCCAGGTCTTAGTTGCACTTGTTATCTAGATGCCTGGTTTCAGCCTTGAACACAGCTCTCCTGATAGCTCCAGATACACAATACTTGAATTGTATGACTTTTGTTTACACCTTCGTCAAATGCATTACATGTAGACGTGGGAGACACGTCACTGTTCACAGCTGGTGGTAATCAGTGTTTTTTTTCTCTATGTTTTTCCACACTGATATATTTTAGTGTGGACAGAACAGCAGCTTTCTACAAAACTGTGCAAGACAATATGGGTTTGTGTTAGAATCAGTATTTGAGTGAGAACATGAGAATTTTTAGCTTGATATAGCAATATGCCCCATTCTGTTTAAGAATTCTTTTGACCACATGAGCCTTGTGGAAAGCAGTCTGGTCAAATGTGTTTTTGACTACCACTAGATATGGTCAAATATTGAAAAGCTTGTTTAGGGATTTATTTATTTATGGGATAAGATTAGCAAATTGCATCTTAATGTCATGCGGTTATAAGGCTTCAGTAATGCTGTGTCCGCACCAGACTTGCTATGGGTGAATAAATCACACTTTTCACGTGTAAATAGATGTGTGAACTTTTTTGAGTTTACTTGCTTCGTTCTTGCATCAAATTTGTTTCATTCACACGTCAAATTCACTACAGATTTGACGTGTATTCGTGTCATGGGCAGGGCTTCTGTCTGGCTGGTGACTCTAGCTTCATTGCTAAATAGCTAACATATATTTATTAAGATAGTGGATGTGCTTTATGTGCTTTAGGAATGTTGAAAAATTTGTTCGGCACTGTGTCTAAGCTGACGAGCTGTTGTCCAGTGTCGGTAAGATGATTTCCCCTCGGGACACCAACAACAGTCAATCAACAATGTCATTATCACGCCTCTACAGAGAAAAGTCCTGATTGGTTAACATGACCCTTGATTAATAAAGGGACTAAGCTGAAAAGAAAAAGAAAGAAAGAATGAATATTTTTGATTTTATAATGTGCGCTGCTATGGACTTTATCTGATTGAATTTAAAAGCAATTTTCTGAATATTTTGATTTTTTTAACCTTTAGATTTCAGATGTTTATTAATTTATATTATCTCCGACAAATAATTTCCTTTCTTAACACATAATTCATCAATAACACCTATGACTGGTTTTGTGATCCATGCTCTCATTTTTTCAGTTAATCAGTATCCTATTGATATTGTGAAAGAGAGCTAATAAACTATAGAAAATTATAGTTATTTTAATGTACATAAAAAAATATTATTCAAAATATGGTTTGATTATCAATATCAGCAAAATTTTATTATTATTATTTTTTTAATATTGCACACCCCTAGTGCAAATGTCAATGAATGCGTTTGAACAGTGACACTGGAAAGGTTCTTACATCCTACAACCTGTACTTGATCCGAATCATCTCAAATCATTTATCATTAAATGTTAACATGTTTGAAATGGTGGAAATTGTGTGAGATTTCAAACTGTTGACAGCATAAGAACACACCAAAATGAAGGTGAATCGAGGGCAATCCAGGTCTAAATTTCACTTATGTCATCACACTTTACTCTCAAGTCTGAAAACTGAAAACGGATCTCTATCCTTAATGCTTTCATAGCTGAATCTCCAGCTGGGTGCAGGCAATGCCTGATTGGTATGAATTTATGCAGAATATACATACTGAAAAATGAAATGCTTTGTGCTGCCTGACGCATACAGATATAATCTTGCGATCTAGTCTTGACCTGTAGGTTGTTTTAATACATGCAGATCGGTGTTGGACTGGAAACAGACACGGAGACGTAATTCTACAGTGTGCATGTTAATTCATTTAGATTAATAGTTTGCAGCCCACTGGGAAATTTTAAGGCAACGGTAAATTGAATGTATAATATAAACTGAGTAATGAAGTTGCTATAGCACCATCTATGGACCCAAGCCTTGCTAATTTGATATGTCTCTCTGGAATAGGAGAGTGCACAATGTTTGCTGACACTTGCAGAATATGGTTATGCCTTATGGAAGTAATTATCTATTAAATACACCCTCCAAAAACTGGCTTTGGCACGTATCCATATTTTTAAATTCAAATTATTTAAAAGAACCTCCGATTTTGCCTTGAACCTTAACTTTCAAACCAAATTCTTTTTTGAGAATCTTTTAAATATATTTTATTACAAGATTAAATAAATTCTATTAAGGCATTTATACGTTTTTAGAACGCATTTCAAGGGTGCTTGATGTTATAATAAATACAGAAAAATGGTGCAATGTAATTCCGTGAGAGCCGTATGTCCTTGAAAATGTGCACAAGACACCAAGTCGTGTGTGTGTGCATGTGTGTGTTAATGTATTTGTTGATGGATGCTCTGGAGAGCTCCAGAAATGTTAGCAGTCACAGCTTGCAGGATGACAAGTTCAGAGCCATTGTGCATTGGCTTTAGCACAAAACTATCAAAGGATTACAGCCAATTTTGTTTCCCAACATTCAAATACAATCCAGCAGTGAGAATTAGAGTGCCAAAGATGCATTCAGTCATAGCAGTTATAATTCAGCATGGTGCTGTTGTAAAGGAGATGAAATTTCTTATTTGTTTTGCCAAAGCAGATGAGACAACATGTAGATCAGGGGTCTTCAAAGGGAAGTTTGAAAAGTACTGCAGGGGTTCTCAAATTATTGTTTGATCTCTTTTTTTGTGAATAAAATAATGAACTTGTTGAAGCATAATGCAGTATAAAGTTAACTTCCATAACGTTTTCAGTTAGGAAGCTTTGATTGTTCATTCCTTATTAAAATGCTACCTGGCTAAATAAAACCATACTGAGAGCTGCATGTAGATGAATTTATAAATATGTGCTGTACATTTTTATCTGAGCCACACCTACCTATTGCATCATTGACATGCACTAATGGTAATTTAAAGGTGCATTCCAGCTATCCTGCTGCAATCAACTTCATGTTTGATTTCCAGTCATACCAGTTTATTCTTTAGTTTCACTGCAGTAACATGTGTGTGAACCAGTGCAGCCATGGTCATATTTATATTTTTCTAAAAAACCCTGGACATGCTTATAAGCAACACCCACTTGACATTTCACTTTAATATTGCCATAAACTTAGCAAGAAGCAATGAAATATAATTTTTTGTGAAAATGTAAAATGTCACACAGACATGTATTTTCATGAGCTTAAAATGCCTGTAATGAAAAGAACTCAAATGCCACTTAAAAGTTATTATTGGTTCTCTGGATTTGCCATTAGGTACATGCTTTGAGTAAAATGCCATTAGGTGCAAGCTTTCAGTAAAATGTTCATGTGTGATATCTATGTTTAATGGGCTGCTGATAACATGTCTTCGAATTTTAAAAAAAGCGGTATATTCATTTATTCATTCATTTTCTTTTGGCTTAGTTCCTCATTTATCAGGGGTTGCCACAGCAGAATGAACCACCAACTATTCTGGCTTATGTTTTTTGCAGCATATGCCCTTCCGGCCGCAACCCAGTACTGTGAAACACCTATACAAACTCATTTACTCATACACTATGGCCAAATTATTCAATTCACCTATAGCGCATGTCTTTGGACTGTGTTTGGGAAACCCACGCAAACACAGGGAGAACATGCAAACTCTACACAGAAATGCCACCTGACCCAGCTAGGGCTCGATACAGTGACTTTCTTGCTGTGGGGCTATCGTGCTACCCACTGTGCCACCGTGCTGCCCTTGAGTCTACAGAACAAATCAACGTTATCAATAGCTTGCCTAATTACCCTATCCTGCTTAGTTAACCTAATTAACCGAGTTAAGCCTTTAAATGCCTCTTTAAGCTGTATTGAAATGTCTTGAAAAATATCTAGTAAAATATTATTTACTGTCATCATGGCAAATATAAAATAAATCAGTTATTAGAAATGAGTTAAACAGAAATTGGGGGAAAAACAAACAGGGGGGGCTAATAATTTTGATTTCATCTGTATAGATAGATAATAATATGATTGTTGAACAGACTTCATTCACTACATGCGTGTATTATTAAACTCTGTGTTGTCTGTTTCAGAAGTGTGTGCGGCGGACTGCAGTCCTCACGGCGTGTGTGTTGGAGGTGTGTGTCGGTGTGCGGACGGCTGGTCGGGGGCCGGGTGTGAACAGGAGGACTGTCAGGCTCACTGTGGGGAGCATGGTGTGTGTCGAAAGGGGAAGTGTGAGTGTCACCAAGGTTGGACGGGAGAAAACTGCAATATCGGTGAGTTCACCCTGTTGTCAACCTTGTATTTTGTTTGTTTAGCTTCAAAAAATATAACCTGTTCCAGACTCCTGCAGTCAAAACTTGAGAAAATATCACAAATAAAATGTTTTGCAGGGCTGTTACAAAGGTCAAGAAAATGCCTAGGTTTCTGTAATGGATGTACAATACTGTTCCAAAGTTTGGGGTCATTGCAATGTCATTATCTGTTTTGAAACAACTAATAATTTTTCACACAGCAAAAGCTGTAAAGATATTACAAAATAATAAATGTATTCAAGATGCATAAATATGAATAAATACATATTAAAATTATTTTGCTGAAGACTGGAAAAATTATGCTGAATTCATTTTTTTGATATCATAAATTACAATTTAAAATATAATAAAACAGAAATGAAGTTGTTTTAGCTGTAATAATATAATTTTTACCTGTGTCCTTTCAAAAACATATAACGTTCAAAAGTTTGGGGTCAGTTATTTTTCATCTTTTTTAAATGATTCTGTTCATCAAGGCCACGTTTATTAAATAAAAAAAAAAAAAAAAGTTTAATATTTATTAAAATAACAAATAACAATTTATTTATCGTATTTATTTTTAAATGAATTTATTACTCCTTTCATTATTGCTTTTAATATTATTAATAATAATATCATTATTAATAATATTAATACTACTACTACTAATACTACTACTACTACTACTTCTACTACTACTACTAATACTACTACTACTACTACTAATAATAATAATATTAATATTACTAATAATAGTAATCATGATAATAATAATCATAATAATGACAATAGCAATAATACTCATAAAAGAAATAATAATAATAATAATAATAATAATAATAGTAATCGTGATAATAAAATAAATATTAATATTAATATTAAAAATAATAATATTAATAATAATAATAATTATTATTATTATTATTACAATAATAGTAATATGTATAATAAAAGAAATAATAATAATAATAATAATAATAATAATAATAATAATAATGATAGTAATATTAATAATAACAACAACAATAATAATAATAATAATAATAATAATAATAATATTAACAACAACAGCAACAATAATAATAACAAAAATAATAATGATTAATATTAAAGTGATTTCTGAAGGATCTCTGAGAGTAATTGAAGACTGGAGTAATGAAGCAGAACATTCATCTTTAAAATCTCTGTAATAAATTATTAAATTAAATTATAAACTTCTTTTAAACAGTTATTTTTAAGTGCAATAACATTTCACAATTTGACAATTCGTACTGTATTTTCGATTAAGTAGATTCTGTTTATTTTAAAACATTTAAAAATCCTACTGACCCCAAACTTTCAACCAGTAGTGTAAATAAAAATAGTGTTCTTCCGAAAGTCTTGAATGGTGGTTTTGTATGTTTAGCAGTAAAATACTAAAGAGGATAAATGTTGCATTTGGTTACAGTCTGTGTCAAGTTAAATTTTTGAACTTAATCATTTTCAGTACCAATCATTTCACTTTAGAGTGAATCCATCAGAATCAAAATCATTTTTGAAACTATAATCAACAGTGACTGGACATATTGGAAGTATTTATGTAATACTTAAAATCAAATACATCGTCAGCACATTAACACACTGTCAAACAGTATATTTTCTAATTTTGATATTTACTCATGAGAACCCGCTTGGTGTTTTCTGCGAAGTTAGCACTGCACAAAAATTCATATTTTGTGTCTGAATGACTTTCATTCTTTCTCTATCATTCCCCCTATCTTTCTAGCTCACTTCTTGGACAGCAAGATAAAAGGTACAGTGCTTTCTTTCATCAGCCATGTTTACTCTAATTAAAATCATAATGGATTCTTAAATTCCTTATTAATGATATATTCATAGAATGCAAGCATTTGTGAAACCTAAAAGAAGAATCGCAGATGTAGACCTTGCTTCAGGAGAAAAAAAAAGTGATTCAAAATTCAAAAGCATCCATGCCTTTTCTCTAATCGAGCTCTTCAACAGTACAATGCAAATGTCATGAAATGTCATATTTACTGAGGAGAGAGAAAAGTGCAGCACATTAGGTGTGTGTAACCAGCGGAGGGTTGTCTATACAGGAATGACACTAAATCACAGCATACCGCAGTATAACTCCCCATGTTTAATTCTTTCCCCTGAATGTCTCTTCTTGATAGCAGACTGGATAGGATATAGAGGTAAAGGTCATGCTGCCCTGAAGAGAGCATGTGGCTCTGACCCCTCTGTCTCTCAAGCATGACTTTCATTATGTCTATGTACCGTGTATTAATGTGTCCCCTACATGTGTTCGGTTTCAGGTTTCCTGTTTTATACAGTGTATATGTAGGCATACAAATGTACACACACAAACACATACACACAATCATCAGTCAGTCCATGCACATATACACTTTCGCATTACCCAAATCCCCATTGTTGTACATCTCACTGTCTCTTAATGTAATATTTAGCAGCTGCTAAGCTCCTTTAGTTTAGCATTTCCCTCTGTAATTTCCTTTGACTTCACACATTCTGTGACAAAGGATTTGATGGAGCACTTCAGTATGCTGTCTGATAAACTCTTGCCGCACTTGTGCTGTTCAGCGCAGCATGCTGTTAATTCACATGCACACTGCTAGATGTGATAATTTAATACTATTTTTCAAAAGAACTTCATAAGCTTCTCTGATTGTGCTTCATAATTATTTCATTTATTTCTGCAAATCATTTCGAATAGATTAGAGATGCACCAATTGACTGGCCTTTAATCTGTTATCTTCAGAAAAGTTGCTATTTTTCCATATTTAGCATCTTTTTCTGCTGTTTTGTTTTGTAAAGTATGTTTTGTGTAGCATAATTTCACAAGGCTAAGTTATAATTAGAAATATTTATAAATTACAACTTTAAACTCTCTCCCCGTGTTCCTGTGGGTTTCTTCCGGGTGCTCCGGTTTCCCCCACGGCTAAATTGGCTGTAGTGTATGTGTGGGTGTGAATGCAAGAGTGTTTGGGTGTTGGCAAGAGTGTATGGGTGTTGCGGCTAGAAGGGCATCAGCTGTGTAAAACATGCCAGATAAATTGGCGGTTCATTCTGCTGTGGCAACCCCTAAATAATAAAGAGTCTAAGCCAAAAAGAAAATAAATGAATGAACTTTAAACTTGTGTGGAATGTAATTGCAGTTCAATTTAAACCATTACTTTTTTTGTTAAACTTTTTAGTCACAATTCATACTATTTGCAAACATTTAACTAAGACTATTAGCTTAATGAACTACTAAATAGCAGCTTATTAATAGTAAGATAAACATTTGCTTAGTTTTTGCATAGAATTTGGGATGTATAATAAGATCATACTTTATAGCTACCTGCTTGAAAATATTAGCTAGAAATAGTAAATAGCTATAAGTAGTAGCCATAAAGTATGATCTTATTCTACATCGCCAATTCTACACAAAAACTAAACAAATAAGATGAATTCTGACTAAAGTGTTGCAAAAAATATGTAATAGTTAATTGTGACAAAATTAATTGTATTTTTATAACCTTTTAAAAAAAATAATTCGTTTTTCAACATAGGCTCATTCTGAAAATGTAGCCCTGTGTACACTTCTGGAGATTGCAAATTATGTAGCCAGAAGTACGTATGGCTGCATTTTGTCTGAATGCTCGCTGTGTACGTTGGTGGATTTGAGGCCCAGAGAGTTGACCACGATGATGGGGTTCGATTCTGGCAAAGAACGGCTCCAGAGTGTTGGTAAAAAAAAAAATTAAGCCTAAAAAAAAGTAAATAACAGGGTGAAGACATGGTAAAAATCAGGCAAGGTCATTTCTTTTTCTGGATTGCTTTTTAAAACTGTTGGTTGGGTTTAGGGAAGGGGGTGGGCAGGTCAGTCGGTGATATGAAAACACTATTGGCTGGGTTTAGGGAAGGAGGAGGGTGGGTAAGTCGATCAGTCAGTCAGTCAGTCGACAGCAGCCTCTTGTGGATTTACGTAAGAAGAGCAGGCGTGAATGGCACTCGTGAGAGAAATCTGAGATCTCAAAAAGCATACACAGCTGTCTCTTGTGGATTTGCGAAAACAAAAACCCCAAAAAAATAAAAAACTTCCTGGGAAGTTGGTGCTCTGCAGAAATGCATTTAGGGGTACGTTTTCAGAATGAGCCTGGGTTGATTTTATTTTTTAATCTACAGTTGGGATCAGGCAAATGGCCTGCAAATAAAAATAAAATTAAATTAAAGTCAGTATTGGTGCATCACTAGCCTAGTTACTATTTGGCTATATTTATTTACTGATTTTAATTAATAATCATTTAAGTGCTAAATATTTGTCCAGCTGTTTCATGTGAAATTACAGCTCCCTCCCTTGTCCAATGTCTTTAAAATGTTGTAAACGTTCCAAACGTTTGACTGGTTAAGGCACACATTCACCATGTTTTCCACTGTATGTTTATGCAGTACTCTATTGCGAGTTCTTCACCTCCCTTGAGTCTTGCTAGGCTTCTGGTTGGTTTAGTGTGTTTAACTGATGAATTTGTCCCTCTAGATAGCTGTCCAGGACTGTGCAACAACAACGGCAGGTGCATTCTGGACCAGAACGGATGGCACTGTCTCTGTCAGTCCGGATGGAGAGGGGTGGGGTGTGATGTCGCTATGGAAACCATTTGCTCCGATGGCAAGGACAATGAGGGAGGTGAGAAAAATTGCTAAACTACTGTTTAACAGGGGTGTAAAGGTAAACACAAAATGGCATGTAGCTTTTGTATATAACTATGTACAGTTGTACAGTCAGTTGTAACTATGTACAGTCAAAATTATTATCCCTCCTGTTATTTTTCTTTTTTTTTAATTTTTTTTAAATATTTCCCAAATTATGGTTAACAGAGCAAGAACATTTTCAGAGAGTTTTCTATAATAGTATGTCTTCTGGAGAAAGCATTATTTGTTTCATTTTAGCTAGAATAAAAGCAGTTTTTTATTTATTTATTTTTTATTTTTTTGTCAAGCCATTTTAAGGTCAATATTATTATTATTTTTTGGATTGTCTACAGAACAAAAAAATATTATTAGAATTAATTATTAAAACTATTATTTTTAGAAATGTGTAGAAGAAATCTTTTCATAAACACACTTTCTGGAAATAGTGTGGGGCCAATAATTCAGGAGGGCTGATAAATTTGACTTCAGCTGTACCTATTTATATTGGGGCAGGGGCTGATTCTTTTATATTAAAGGTGCCATATATTACATTGGTTTATTAAATTAAATTGTTCTCTGATATCAACATCCAGAAATGGTTTAATAAGTTCTTGTATTACTCCATAAAATACTCCTAGAATCAGAAAGTCCATGATTGACCGTTTATGGTTTGTGTCATGAATATTAATAAGCTCCAATCTGACGTGCCACTCTTACAGACACACTTTCACGCAAACAGAGCAGGGACAAATATAAACACAATCAGAGTAACTTAACCTATTTTGCTCACGAGATCTGTTGTGGATAAAAGCTAAACCAGATTTTCATTATAGGGCACCTTTAAAGTCCTTAAATAATTTAAATAGCAAAATTACAATCTAGTTGCATATATTTTATTTGTATTTTACTGTTATGTAAATATAATAAAAATAAGAAAATGTTCTATATAATCGGGAAAAGTATTACTTTCTGCTTCTGTTTCCATGTCTGTGCACTGTTACATACTTACTTTTTATACCACCCAGTCTAAAAATGTCTAAATAATTTAAAGTCTCCAGATATATATTCTTACGTCCCATGTTGTTGTTTTTAGATGGCTTGGTGGACTGTATGGATCCAGACTGTTGTATTCACAGTGCCTGTCAGGGTCAGACATATTGCCGCGGGGCTCCAGATCCCAGCACAATACAACAACCCAGCTCTCCCACTTCAGACGCTCAAGGCTTCTATCAGCGTGTGGGCTTTCTGGTGGCTCCAGGCGGCACTCATACCCTACCAGGAGAAAACACGTTCAACAGCAGGTTGGAAGCTCTTGAACTTCTAAAGAACAGTCAACTCGGTTTGGATGGAAAGAGATAGGTGTTCTAAAACCAAAATTCTCTCATTATATTTTACGCAGAGTTTCTCTCTTGTGCTGAACACAAAAAAAGGTATTCTGTATGAATGTTGCCTCTGGCATCCATTGAATTTTTTTCCTGAAATTGATGTCAATGGCTACTAGTGTCCAACATTCCTTTTGTGTTTAAATTTTTCTTTCTTTCTTTGTTTAACATAGAGTGACACACTGTGGCTCAGTGGTTAGCACTGTCACTTCACAACAAGAAGGTCGCTGGTTCTAGTGCCAGCTGGACCAGTTGGCATTTCTGTGTGGAGTTTAAATGTTCTTCTAGTATTCACATGGGTTTACTCCTGGTGCCCACAGTACAAAAAAAGACATGCAATATAGGTGTGAATGCAGAAGTTTATGAGTGTTTCCCAGTACTGGCTTGCAGCTGGAAGTGCATCTGCTGCATAAAATATGCTGGATAAGTCAAGTAGGTATCGCAGCAGCCCAGAGATCTCCAAGTGGGAGGGATTACACCGCAAGTAGGTTGGGTGACCTTCAAGTGGGAGGGACTTATGCCATAAGTAGGTTGGGTTTGGGTGGTGTAGGTGGAGTAGACAATAATAAAACACATCAGATTAGTGTGAGGTTGGGTTTAGGGTTGGGGTAGATGTAGACATTAATAAAACACTACAGGTTACTGTGAGGTTGAGTTTAGGGTCGGGGTAGGTGTAGACATTCATCAAGCACAATATTAATGTCATGTTCAAGACATTAAATAAGTAAAAACTCCAAGTTTGTACAGCCCACTTGGAGCTCAAAGCCCACCCACTCGGAGCTGGCTTCAACCTCTGTTTATACCCTGTTTATGTCTTCATTATGTGTGGCGACCCCTGATAAATAAGGGACTAAGCCGAATGTAAATGTATCAAGGAAAGGAAAGATTAATGACAAAATTCTATATTTTGAGGAATGTTGGAAACCAGTAGCCTTTGTCATCAATAGTATATATTTGTCCTACTATGGATGCCAATTGCTACTGGTTTTTAACATTCTTTAAAATATATTATCGTGTTCAACAGAAACTCATAGGTTTGGAACAACTTAAAAGTTGAGAAAATGATGAGTAAATGTTCATATTTGGGTGAGCTGTCTCTTTAAATGCCTAAGCATTTTTTTTATTGTTTACTCTTTTTAATGTCTTAGTTTGTTTGAAATGACACCAATTTGTTCTGCAATTTTACTTGCAAATTCATTGTTTCTCTGGTTTTACTTTGAATAAAATTTGCCTTTTATTTTTTCCAAAAAATGATAATTGGCCAGATCTTTTCTTTCATTTGTTCTGATTGAATCTGGGTTTTTTCACCAAATTGCTTCTCTAAAGTAAAAGAAAAAATATTGGTATTGTCTGAAAACATGCCATTTTTTATTTTATGCAAAACAATGCTCTAAATTAAAGCTTTTTTATTTTCAATTTAGAAGAAATGGCTTTGGTAGTTTACAGAATAAAACAAATCAAGTCTTACTCAAACACAAAACCATAAATTGTGAAACTACACATTTTCAGGAGGTCTCTTTATTTTTTGTCTATGTACAATTCTACAATGTTTTTCACGAGACACATGGCTTTTTATGCCGATAATGCCTCTATTTCATGTTTTAGCTATAGCATAAAAAAAAAAAAAAAAAAAAAAATATATATATATATATATATATATATATATATATATATATATATATATATATATATATATATATATATATAAATATGCATGAATGTCCTTTCGGCTATGCTAGTAATTGTGATGCCGTTTGATGTATTGCACAATATTTCCCGCAATCTTTAATAGTTTTTTTTTTTTGAACCATTTTAGAGTCATAGATCTAACGGCATGCGAAAATAGAGCAAGTCTCGCACACTCATACAGAATAAACAATAGGCTTTTCTTTTTGATAGAAATCCACAACTTCAGTTTCCCCGTTTGAAGACTCCATATTGTCCTATCTAATTTCTGCTGCGGACAGAAAAGCCATTTGCTGCTGGTATGATTTGTACGAAAAGTCAGCGTACTGTGTACTTTAAAAAAATGATTACTTTTTCCTCTGAAAAAATTGTGCACCTCACCTTTGCACCTCTTCAATTTGGACTCTTGAGAGAATCTGTTCTGCGCCCTTTGGTGCTTTTTTTTTCAGCCAAAGTTAACAATATGAACATTCCTGCTCATCTTGACTGTCTTACAATGGAACTAATGTGTTCCAATGTCTGGATATTTGGCTGATGAAGCTTTTGATTGTGCCTTGATGAGGTAACTCGTCATCCCGCCCATCTGCCCCGAGGTGCCTTTTGTTCACACATTGAGAAATTATCGCGCAATTAGTCTAAAGATGCGAGATTGCAGGTCAGCCCCTAAAAGGCGCTCTGTAAAATAATTTGTGCTGTAATTACGTCTGTTAAGATTATCAAAACAGAACAACGGAAGAAGGTCAGCCGCAGTGGATTGAGACATTTTACAGCAGATCTGGACAAATCTATAAAACATATATATTAAACCCCACATTTAAGCAGCTTTCTGACCTTGAAGAATCAGCAGTGAATAAGCTGTCTATTTTCATTCAGAGCCTTATTTACTTGTGTATTGAATGTGTGTTTGTGTTTATTTTTCAGCCTGGTGTCTGTAGTGCGAGGACAGGTGGTGACGGGCGACGGCACTCCTCTGATTGGGGTGAACGTGTCTCTTCTTCATTACCCCCAACAGGGTTACACCATCACCAGACAGGACGGCATGTACGTACTAATGTGGTTTACTCAGACATTTGCTTACTGTACACATATCCACATAATTATGCTAATGACTGTGCTTAAGATAGTCAGTGAGAAAGCCTTTTGCATAGTTTTATGCTAATTCCCGTTTGCATCTCACTGCCTCCCACACAAGTCAAATCACAGACAGGCACATTTTACCCTCATGTCAGTGTTACTGTCAGGTAAAATGCAGGTTCGTAAATAAAAGTAAATACATATAAATAAAGTTGTGTTGTTACTTAAAGGGGACCTATTATGCTCCTTTTTACAAAATGTAAAATAAGTCTCTGATGTGAATTTTCAGCACAAAATACTCTACAAATAAATCTTTAAAACTGACACTTTTAGGCTTTGATCCAAATTGTGCCGTTTTGGTAACTGTCGCTTTAAATTCAAATGAGATTGTGCTCCCAGCTCTCTTTTAAAAGAGGGCGGAGCTACAAATGCCTATGCATCAGCATTAGTGATGGGAAGTTTGGATCATTTTACTGACTCAGACCTTTGAGTCTCGGTTGTTGAGATAAACAAATCTTTTTTCGATTCATTTTGTTCAATTTGCCAAAATATTATTAAAATGTTATGAGTTGCTTAGCTATGAGTTAGTCTTAGCTAGTTTACTATAAGAAAGAGAAAATAATAATTTATTGTTTACCTGGTGTATTGTCTGATTATATCAGTCCACCTCTTCTACCAGGTCTTCAAATTTGAGTGGTATATAAGCTTAACCAATGCACACAGCCTGAGCCGAAAGCAGCCATGATTAGTTCACCTTTCAAGACTTCTGGTTTTTGAGTCATTCGTTCATCGCGTGACAGCATGTAAAGAGAGATTACTCAAACCCAAGAAATTATCAAATGTTAAAATCTTTTTCTGGCTCTATATGCATATGATTGGCTTCTGTCTTTCACATGATGAACAAATGACTCAAACCGAGGACTCGAGATGAACAGATCAAAGGTTTTTCTGGCTCTGACTGCATATGATTACCTTCTTTCTTTCACGTGATGAACTCAAGAACTTTAAGACTTTGATTCAAATTGTGCCATTTGCTCCCAGCCCTCTTTTCAAAAGAAGGCAGAGCTACAAATGCATATGAAGGAATCTTTATTAGATTATTTTCGTTCATTACGTTCAACTTGCCAAAATGTTACTAAAATGTTACAAGTTGCTTCCAAACTCATCTACAGCTAGCCCAATATGAACACTCAAGACTCAAACCGGATAGAAGACTCGAAAAAGGGACTCATCGTTCTCGAGTCATACAAAAGATTTGTCAAAATGAACAAATCGTTCAAGAACGAACCATCACTAATCAGCATCGCAGCATATCCAAAACAGGACTAACGTTATGTCCAGATTTATAATGCCTCTTAATAGCTGGCATTATCTTCAGCAGATACGGTTTGAAAAATACTTTCTCATTCAGGGCTGTCTATGCTAATAAGGGGGAGATTGTCACAAATGAGTGGGACTTTCCCCCTCTGATGACATAAACAAAGGGAGACTGTCAATCAAAGTGATTTTGCAGACTAATTTTATGAAGTGTGATTATAAAAAATATATGATTAATTAGGCCGACTATTTCAACACACTGTTGCCACACAACTGTTTAAATCCCTTATATAAGTGATTTTTGCATAATAGGCCCCCTTTAAAATACTATAAACATTCACAGAAAATAAAAAGCACTTTACTACACTTTGTTACAAATATTTGAGTTTGTCAGATGCATAAAGAAAAAAATAAAAACATAGAACATTTAAAAAGTGGTTAAAGCTAAATTATAAAAAAGCATTCCTAAAATGTAATTAAGAAAAAATATATATAAAGGACCGTTAATCACTGTGTTACAAAACGGACGCTGGACAGTATCCACATGCAGTTTTTTAAAGGCAAGGTCATACAGGCAATAATCAAAAACAGGAGCAAAACAGTAGCAAAAAGGTAATCCAATAAACGTGGTCAAAAAAAGGTCAGGCTAGGTGGCAAGAGAATCAAATCAAAAACACAGGAAAAAAAAAAAAAAAAGGAAAACCGCTTTGTAATTTTCATAGGAGAAAAAGACTCAGCAATGTGAATGTGAAAGTGACACACACACATATATATATATATATATATATATATATATATATATATATATATATATACACATATATACAGTTGAAGTCAGATTTATTAGCCCCCCCCCCCCCCCCCCCCAAATTAGGGTAAATAGGCAAGTTATTGTATAACGATGGTTTGTTCTGTAGAAAAAGTTTCTGTTAATAAAAAATTAGCTTAAAGGGGCTTATAATTTTCGTCTTAAAATGGGTTTTAAAAAAAATTAAAACTATTTTTATCCTAGCTGAAATAAAACAAATAATACTTTCTCCAGAAGAAAAAATATTATCAGACATACTGTGAAAATTTCCTTGCTCTGTTTTAAAATATATATATATATTTAAAAAAGAAAAAAAAATTAAAAAGTGGGCTAATGATTCTTACTTCAACTGTATAGTACATCATGGCTGTGTCTGAAATAGGTACTGCATTTAAATTTAAATGTACAACTCGGCTATTAGAAAAGTGCGTTTATACAGTATGAATGTTAGTAGGATGAATTGAACTCGGATGTACTACATCTGACATTTTGTCATCATCACGTGACCTACACATCAGTTGCGCCGCTTCACTCCCATTCATGAATTTTCTCATGGTGCATGATGAGATAGTGTAGCATCCCTCCAATGTGCACTTCAGAATCTCGCCGGAAGTAATAGGTCATCTGGGTACTTCTCACATACTGTTTTTAGCATATATAGTATGGAAGTATGCGATTTCGGACGCAGTTTTCATAATCAGTGAGATGAGATACAGCTGTGTCTGTGTGTGTGTGTGTGTGCATGTCCGGATTGTTGTCAGCTGTTGCAGGAGTTAATGGGCGCAAAGAGTTCTGGGAGTTGTAGTTTGTTGAAATAGCGGAAGTAATCTCCAGTAGAGAAAACACCGCTGGCGATCACAACACACTAACACTACACCAATGCAACCCATAACATCTTGACGTAAATATATATTTTAAATATAGATAAATCTGGTTTTATATGCAAATGTGATATGTCATTTTTTAGGGTCAAAACACTTTATTATTTTAATTAGATTTAATGTATATTCATTCACTCAATCACTTTTCTGCAGCTTATTCTCTTCTTTAATTTGACGTATACTGTTTAATTAAACTATAAGCACATGTAATTTTATAAATTAAAATGAACAATTATTCTAAACAAACAATTTTTTCTCATTTAACAGTCTGGCACTAATTACACTGTTTATTCACTGAACATAAGCACACACATCAGCTGCCTGATTTTGAGTCTGACATATAATGATTTAGACGGTCAGATGGTAATTAACCTTTATGACCAATTAAATTCATTCTGTGAAGGACGTAAGACTGATTTAAAGCAGAGCAAAACTGCAATCTGGATATGTGTATGCATGAAAAAGAAAATACATCTAGCTAGACAGCATTAAAGCAGCAAGCCGAGTGTAACTTTCATTTCTGAGCTGTTTCTGGGGCTATCTGACCTTCTTGTACCTTTATAATAATCCCTTTAGTCATTATCCATCATTATCAACAATCACGCAGATCAGCAGTTAAAGTGAGTCATCTATTCAGAGGTCATGCGTGGGAGTTTGCATGTGTATTTGTGGCCACCATATGCCTTTCACTGAGCCATGACTCTAATGCATTAAAAACTATATTTTCTCTTCAGTAGAGTTTAAGATGAGACATGGAGGCAAAACGCTTTTTTTCATGCATGTCAGTTTTCATATTTGGATATTTTTGGGGTTTTAGTAATTTAGATTTTTTTTTTTTTTGTCTAACTTTCTTTTTCGTGTATGTACATTTCAATTAAACTTCATAATTTTAAAGATTGTTTCCTCCTGCACTGAGCCATGAATCTTTGTTTCAGCAGTACTTATACCAATCTTCATATCTTTATTCAGATCTACACACACCGGCCACTTTTAGGTAGGACCTGTCCAACTGCTCAATAACTCAAATTTCTTAACAGCCAATCACATGGCAATAACTGAATTCATTTAGGCATTGGACATGGTCAAGACGATCTGCTGCAGTAACTCTTCTGCTGCAACTGAGCATCAGAATGTGAAAGAAAGGTGATTTAAATGACTTTGAACGTGGCATGGTTGTTGGTGCCAAACGGGCTGGTCTGAGTATTTCAGAAACTGCTGATCCACTGAGATTTTTACATACAACTATATCTAGGGTTTACAGAGAATGGTCCAAAAAGGTGAAAATATCCAGTGAGTGGCAGTTCTGTGGGCGCAAATGCCTTGTTGATGCCAGAGGCCAGACTGATTCGAGCTGATAGAAAGGCAACAGTAAATTAAATAACCACTTGTTACAATCGAGGTATGCAGAAGAGCGTCTTTGAATGCACAACACATCGAAACTTGGATAGGCTACAGCAGCAGAAGATCACACCGGGTGCCACTCCTGTCAGCTCAGAAGGCTACAATTCACACAGGCTCACCAAAATTGGACAATAGAAGACTGGAAAAACGTTGTCTGGTCTAATGATTTCTGCAGCGACATGTAAAGGTGGCCTTACCTTAAACCCCATGTGGGTAAAATTTTACTTTTTGTTTGGGTGCCAGATGAAATAATTCCATCAATATTACAAATTGAACTTTAGCCCAGATGGTAGGGTCAGAATTTGACATCAATGTGTTCCTGCCTTGAATGGCTCAGGCTGGTAGTGGTGGTGTAATGGTGTGGGGGATAATTGGCACACTTTGGGCCTATTAGTACCAATTGAGCATCATGTCAATGCCACAGACTACCTAAGTATTGTTGTTGACCATCTCCATCCCTTTATGACCACAGTGTACCCATCTTCTGATGGCTACTTCCACCAGGATAACACGCCTTGTCATAAAGCACGAATCATCTCAGACTGGTTTCTTGAACAGGA